CTGGGTACCGCGTGTGACGCGCTTGCGATACCAACAAAGTGATTCTCAAATACGTCCCGAACATGATCTCGACAAGATCGCGTATAAAGAAAGAGAGAGAGAGAGAGACATACGAGAAAGTGAAATACGATCGGACACGGAACGATCGCACGCGACGATGACATGACGACGACACGATCGGAGATACCTGTCTGCTTAGTGTTTAATGAGAGAAGCTGTACACGATGCGTGAAAAAAAAAAAAAAAACTAATTTACTTTGTTTCTATAAAGTAGAACATCAAAAATACGGTCATTTATAAGTAAAGTAATAAGATTCAGTTAAAGGAAATCAATTTCACTCTTACATCGGTTTATTTCTTTTTTTTTCTTTTTTTTTTTTTATCTGTTTCAGCGCATTGATAGAATTTTAATTTGACACGTGTAAAAAAGTACTCTCGAAATCCTACGACAGATATATGAAAAATGTACTGTAACTGTAGTTCTTATTATGAAATAAGGACTGGTAAGTTCTTCGCGGTACACAGTTTGCCGCGATATTTCTTCCCGCACACACTCGTCGGGATACGTCGGTACTTTAACTTGAGCCATTTCTCGAGAAGGTTACGCTCCGTTGAGTAACGTTTTTTCACGCTCCTGCGAAAAATACACGACCAGATGGCCGATCCGATAAATCTCCGTTCGCTGACAGTTTTCTCGTACTCTCTTTTAACTTATCCGCGAGTATTCGCATTCGTATCAATTTGCGCACGACAGCGAATAACAAATACCGCAATTTTCCGAAGACTACTTGGGATTCGTGCAATGAGGAGAAAAAGGCCTCGGCTCGTCTGATATAAAGCTATACCACTTAATCGGACTGCTTAAAAAATCACTGGGTTTCTCAAGTAAAGAAGAGAAAGAGAGGAGAGAGAGAGAAAGAGGGAAAAGAGAGAGAGAGAGAGAAAGAGCGTTTAGTTCAGGTCGGAGCTCCGGCGTCATGAATTTTACGCGCTGAGAGAGTAATGAAGAACAATGTCGGCCTGTGTATACGCGTGCGAGCCATAAATATTCAGCTCTCATCGGTGGCGCACGAACATTTTAACCCTCTGCCGATCGCGCGGTATTTGTATTTTGACGTCCGGGGATCATACGCTGGAGTTGCATTCAATACGACCGGTCACCGAAGGCCCGATTAAATATTCATACGCCTGGTAATTGCTCGATCTGCGATTCGAAATTGTCTCTGTGACAAAGAGAGAGAAAGAGAGAGACACACATAGAGAGAGATTGAGAAAAAAAAATATCATGCACGATCCTTGCAACTCTCGGACGGGATTATTGTCGTCAAAGATGTCGATGCGAATTACATTTGCGATATAAATATTTTATATTTTTCACACTTATCATATTCACACGTTATTTTTGTTTTATAACGGTTAAACGGTTCGCCGCGAGATTTTTGACGTACTACATTATTTTTGTAAACATCTTTTAATAAAAAAAAACAATTATACGGAACGTGCAAATATTGACAGGCGGATACATCTTTGCTAGGAAACAATTTCAAATAATTGCGAATACTCTCTTTCTCTCTCTCTCTTTCCGGCCTACTTGCCGTTATATTATTTTCAGAATCTTCGATAACCTTATCAACGAAGTTATAAGGAGAATGAAATATTGAATTAAGATATCTTATCAACAAACAAGATTTTAATGCCACGCTTTGTCAAACGTGACGTTTATTTAACCGGTTTGAGATGACTACTGCGAGCGAGTTCGAAATAATACATTAAGAGAGCGCGCTTTTTAAAAATATTGTATCAAATCGGATAAAAACGAGAAACGAAAATAAAGCTTATTCGTCGAATAAAAGAAATATTTCAACGCGGGTCTGAAAAGATTTATATTGTAATAAATAATGAGAAATTAAAAACTATCAGTACACGTTGAAATCTTAATCGTATAGTCGTGTATACTGTCTGAAACATTCCGAGGAATCCGCGATACTAAAGTTTATTCATGAAATATAATACGGTCGCTTTCCATTCTGCCGCACCTCTAACACCATCGTTTCGCTTGCTCGCGATATAAACGAAAACGGCGGGGAAATAAAACGCCTTTTCAGATCCCTTTATCTCGTTAATCTTGTCGCGTTTTATGCGTTCGAGACACAAAGCATAACAGGACGGGAATGCGAGGGAGGGAAAGGGCGCAAAAGAGAGAACGACAAAGAGAGAGAGAGAGAGAGAGAGAGAGAGAAAGAGAGAAAGAGAAAAGGTGCTTATATTGCGCACTGAAAATCTTCCTTAGTTCGAACGTCCCTACCGTTTCAAACTTGGCAGTGTCACGACCGATAAATAAGACTTGCAATCTTTTCCGCCAGTCAGGACACAATGGGAAGAAAAAGTCGTAGGGCGTATCAGGTGCGAGACAAGATTGCAACAGGGAAACTTACACCTGGTGCGTCCTGGAAATTCGAGACTTCGGTTTACAACCGCGCGCGCGCGCGGTCAGACGCCGGATATTTTTCCGATATTTTTCTAGATCTTCCCTCGACACCCCGCCGTCCATAAACACACGTTTCGACGGAAGGAAACAAACGTCGCGCATATATGACGTATATACCAAAGTGACCCCCTCACACATCTATGCTCGCCGGGAAATTCTTTTGCTCGTGAATAAAAGGAATCTAAAATGAGATGAATGGCGATACCTTTCGATACGGTTTTCGCAATTTACAAGAAAAGACGACGAAAGGTGAGAACGTACGTTTCGATCTCGAAGACACGCGTAATTCACATTCTTTAATGGAATATGTTTGAATAGAAATTTCATTTTCTCTCTCTCGCTAAAAAAAGAATTTATCTGAAAAAAGAGATCGTGAAAGATCGAACGAAGAAGATCTGAAACATCATCTTGCGTACGATCACGCAATCGCATTCGCAGCGGGGGAGGATCGGTTTTGTTTCACGATGACGACGATCACGATAATTCGTTCGCGCCTGCTCGTTAATTCGCTCGTTTAAACTCATTCGTTCTCGCGACAAATAATGCGTCGTATGACACATACACACGTGAGAGGAAAAAAATTAATTACCTCTAATAACAGTGTTTTTGTTTCGGGTTGTGTGCTCTAGTTATGGTGAATGTGTGTGTGTGTGTGTGTGTGTGATGGTTGAACGTGTGTACCATACGTTCTGTCGCTCGCGTTGCGTGACCCTGATGCTTATCGAATCAATGACAATGCGTGCGTGCGTGCGCAACGCGCGCGCGAACAGCCGCGATAAGAGGTTGGAATATAAACGGGCAATCTCATCCGGCACAGTCCACTCATTAGTGAGACTTAATTTAAGACATCCATTCAGGTGGAATTTTAAACGCGGCAAATATTGACACGATAGTGTAATTACGATGTTTTTGGCTCGCGTTTCTAAAACAAAGATTAATTAATGACATGGGCGTGTTGTGTATTTATGAACGCTTCCTACGCGCGCCTTCTCGTCCGACATGTATGTATCCCGTTCGAACAAAAGCGCCGGGCATGATTAGAGGATACTATGTCGCGGGAAGAATTTTGATAAAAACACGTACCTCTCGAGCAACCAATTTCATTTACTTGCGAATAAATACGACACACAATTACAGCGTGGAACACTTGATTATTTTTACACATACCGTACGATTTTATAATGCGCAATAAATGTTTACACACAGAGGATTTCATTATCTTCGCCGTAATAAAACGATCGACCAACTTTTCCAATCGATTTCGTCTCCGAGAAAATTGATCCGAAGGGAAGAAATATGTTACGAGAATTTTTTCAATTTGTAAGCTGTGTATTTTGACAGTGTGTGGCGCTTTAAATTAAATTTCTTTTCCAATTAAAATCCGCAAAAAAATTGAGCGACGGGATATAGTTGTTCGTAAAATGGAAAAATATTTTTTTCAATTTAAAACTGTTGGCGCTCTAAAAATGCTCTCGGGACGCGCCGCCGCTGTTTATAACTGAAAAATTACGTGCAGCAAATCGACTGTTACCGTATTTGCGCAACAGTAGCTCGCACGTTTAAAGCCTCGCTGCATATCTCGCGAGAAGAGAAAGCGCGGAACTGCTTTGTCGAAGAAATTTCAACATCTCAAAGGCTGTTTGCAATTTTAAGACGACGTCGTACGTGAGCTCTCGCGCGCTCCTCGGCGGTTCTTCGGTTATCAATTATTCTCTCCGAGTCGATATCGAAGTCAGACGCTTCTCAGCCTCCCCCGACGTGCAATCGCTGGTCGGGAAAGGGAGACGCGCACATCCCGGTCATATTAGATCAATTTATTTTACCTGCGCTTTCTGCATATTTCCACACCTTTTTCCAAGAAGCATAAGTCGCACAGTCGCGTCGTATTAAATATAGAAAAATTGTAAAAAATGTAGAACGACGAATCGATTTTTTGTACAATCATTATTTCAAACTCGGATTAATGCCACGGTAAATAACAACGATGTTAAACAATAACGTGCAAGAAAGTGTGAACCACACACGATAACAAAACTAAAACCCCTCGTTTATGCAATGAATCACATTGTGTGACTCAGACTACGAATGGTTTAAAATTCGCTGCATACTTTTTTTATATCACGCATGTACGAATATTATCGCCTTATTAATCGACGACATGTGTGTCGCGTGCCCGGAGTTTAAAGCTCCGCGATATAGAGTAGATTGAAATTGCAACTCAACAAAGTATGCATACATCGCGATTGTGGCAAAGAGCTCGCGGTGGTCTGTCTTGCCGAGCGTCATAAGCCCCACGTGAATTCGCAAAGTTTCTCACGCAGCTGCAACTGTAAATGCAACTGCGAGAGGACAGACAGATGGTATACACGTCACGCGGGGGAAGAGGCTAGACTACTCCCCCGTAGGGTCCACTTTCCGCATTCGCGCGCGCAATCTTCTCTTCTCCACACACACACCCACACACCCACATACATATCCATACATACAAAATGCAATCCAAAATCTTTCGCAGGCATCGTCGTCGCTCTACGCATGACGTCTCTGCAGATACCGGAGCACGTCGTGCTGAATGAAACGGTGCGCATGCAGTGCAACTTCAACTTGGACCAACAGTTATTGTATTCGGTGAAGTGGTACAAGGACGGCCACGAATTTTATCGCTACACGCCCAGAGACGCGCCCGCGGTGCTAACGTTCCCGGTGCCCGGTGTGAACGTAAACGTGAGTGCAAATTGCAAGAAACTAGTAGTATATCTATAGAAATAGCGCGACACACAGAGTTCCCGACTTTCCTCCCGTTTTCAATGGCGAAGAAAATCGGAATCCTATTATTCTTTAATATTCTCCTTCTGTATCTTTATTGCGAATAAAAATATTCTAGTTTTTGAAACTGATTCTTGAGAAAAATATTAAATGTAACTTGTGTAAGATGAGATGAAATATCGATGCTTTAAAATTTAATTGTAACACAATATCTGTAAAGTCTTTTTGATTGATGATGAGAGTTCGAATAGAAAACTCGCGGAGAAATCAACTTCCTTAATTTGTCCTCTTTCTTCTTGTTTAAAAACCCGGAAGAGGTACAATGCATGCATTTGTATGTCTCTCACGACGCGGGGAAGAGCTTTTTGTTCGACTCTCTGATAGAATCTGGTTCATTCACCGCATCGCGAACGCGCGCGCGCGCAAGCTCCGCGTCACGCTCGATCGGGCATAGCAGCTTATAATCGCGAATTTGCATTCAGCCGCGCGATTCCACCGAGAGCTCGGTCGTCTTGGACAACGTGAATCTGACAAGCTCGGGGAGATATCGATGCGAAGTGTCGGCCGAGGCGCCCTCTTTTCAGACTGTCTCTGATCACGCGGACATGAAGGTAGTCGGTAAGTATTGTCATAGAAAATAAGAACGTGGTGTTGTACGTGATTTAAGTTGAGAATTCGCGGGCCTTTTTATGTTTACGTTGCATGATGAAATTTAGAAGCGATATTACTTGAGTACAGATAGAGATCGAAGCGCGAAAGAATATAAAGAAAAATAATATCTCGTCTCTGAAGTACGTGAACACAAAAAAAAAACGTTCATTTTCGCGAAGCTGTTAGCGCGGCAATTCTAGTTGAAATAACATTCGGTATAAAATTTGCGAGAGCGAGGGAGAGGGGGGAAGGGAGACTAGATAAATGAGTACGTGCGGAGTAAATGCACGCGGATAAGATAAGGTGAATCTAATCCGGAGGAAACGACAATAGCACTAGAAAGGGTCGTGGCAACGTTTCAGTTCTACCTAACGAAGGACCGCAGATAACCGGTGGCCGTTCCAAGTATCAGGTGGGCGATGTCGTTCGCATGAACTGCACGTCGGCACCTTCTAAACCAGCTGCGCTGTTGTCTTGGCTCATCAACGACGAGCCGGTAAGTGAGATGCTTAAACCGTTGGCGAAATAATTGCAACCTTTGTTTCACGCGCCGCTAAACTTTTCCGACCGACGCGGATGAAATGTGTATCTCTCGTTAGAGAAATAGAAAGGGCGAGAGAGAGAGAGAGAGAGCGGCGGAGTTGCAGTGTATGCAATTTGCTAAATAAATCAAAGCCCCTTCTCTCTCTCTCTCTCTCTCCGTCTTTCTCTCTCTATTATACTCTGTTTTCATTATGAAGACGCGGACGCTCGTCGCACGTGTCCATTTGCGTTAATCTCGAAAAATATTCCCCGATAATGTCCTAATTTAAAATTTATTTTGATGAAACGCGTGTCCCCCGCGACCGTCCCTATTAGATGTGAAACATCGAACTGCCAACTCGCATGTCAACATTGAATATCGATTTTAAACCCTTTGAACGTTTATGTATTTTCCATTTATTCGATCCTTTTTATATGTTGTTAATGTTTACAGAGCCGCGTTATTTTTTTCAAAAAATTCGTTACCGCGTTTATATTCCAAGCGAAATTTTCCACCTCTCGTGAACGCGCGGAGAGCTTAACCGAATTAAAGATTAACTTTAAAATAACTTTACCTCCGCAGCGCACGCTGATGAATGTTATTATCGTTATCATGCGATAATTAGAATCTTGCTTCGGCGTTTAATACAATATCGCGTAATTGGTTTCGCGAGAAAAAAAATTGCGTCCGAGAGATCAAAAGGGAGCAATTTCTCGTTCTTAATTGTTTTCAAATTGCATTCTATACGGAACCGCGCATATCTGTTTTCCATTTCCCGCACATCTAATTGGAGCCCGTCGATGCCCGTGTAATCCGGGTCGCGGAATCAACGTTCTAAATAAAAACGTATCTAATTGTTGATTTATCTAATACACATTCGCCACGTTTCCGTTTTTCTTTCTCACGTTTTGTGATCGTGACGTAAAAAAAAAAATAATAATAATAATAATGTAGTTTTCACACACGCGAGAGTCGTGGCGTTCGGCGCGTCAACTTTCAGGCCAACAACGAGTACCTGAGAAAACATCCGGTCACCACCGAGAACGGTCTGGAGACCGCGAGGCTCGGTCTGGAGTTCCGCGTCGCGAACATGCACTTCAGGCAGGGCGACATGAAGTTAAAGTGCTTGGCGAAAATAGCCACGGTCTATCTGAAGAACGACGAGAGCGTGGTGGGCGAAGAGAGCATTCAGAAACCGCCTATGGAGAGCCGCGAGACCCGAGCGCAGAGCCGCACTCGCGAGGACCTCAACAACGGTGAGAATCCCCTTCGATTCTTCGCCCCGGATGCTTTTCCGTTCTGTAAAGTGCGCAACGTTACCCGGAATTGTCGATCGTAAAACCTCAGACGCAGAATCCAACTTTTACTCCGAGGAAAGAATAGAAGAGAGATAAAACCAAAAAAAAGAAAAAAAAGAAAAAAAATCGTAACTCAACTCTGTTAGTTATTTTCTTTTCACCCTAATCTCGTATAATATTTTGTTTCGCAAACCGCGATCAAGCATCGCGATTTTTAAACTCCCTGGCACGTATATGCCGAGAAAGTGCGGTATGTAATCACGGCGAATCATCAATGTGGGGCGAGAGAGAACGATGAAAAATTCACTTAGCTCAAACTCTATGCACTGCGCGCGCGGAGTTATAAATTTCCATTATGACACTTCGCACTCGTTGGATTATACCGCTGTCGAATTCGATATACCGAAGAGAGCGGAGCAATCGGGTGTGAGAGCGCCCGAGTATTGTTAAAATATACCGCGATGTATACATTATTATTCTGTTTATTTCTTCTCTTATTTTTTTATTTTTTTTTTTTTTGCGCGCGCGAGTTTTTGCACGAGTTTATATAGGTAACGACCGGACCGGAAAACGTTTAAGATAATTTCGCAGTTTTGTTGACGTGCGACGCATTTAATACATACGATTATTTACGAAAAGTACCTTTCATTTTTTCCGTCGGAAATATTTTGCAATCTAAACCGATAGTAAATATACGGATATTTTCAATTCGACTCGTCGGCGAATATCCAAGCATCGCCGTTCACGCGAATATTTATACATATGTATTTTGTTTCGCGAAGGGTGAGAATTGTACATATTTTGAAACGCGCGCGCGCGATTTTACGTATCTGCGGAATTTTCGGCCGCGCACCGAAAAGCTCGGCCGAGCACAAGTAATGCGGAGTATCGGATTAAAGCCCCTTAGTATTAAAACGAATCCTCCGTCTCCCCTCCTCTCCGTAAAACGTGCATTCGGCATTAATCACAACGGGAACTAATTACACGATGCCTTAATCCACGATAGTGCTATCACACCCGAGTTTTCGCAATAAAAACTGATTAATTACAGTCACACTGTATTCAAATCCCGAACTGAATTACGACAAGAACGAGGCTCAAGGATTTGCGAAATGAAATGAATATGTGGGAGGAATATAGTTCGGCCTTCGAATTAACCGTTTAAGGGATGTACATCGCAAATTCGCTATAATCCTCCGCAAGTCCTCCGTCTCGTTCGGCGATACGCACTTATAAATACACGGTGCATTGATGACAACTGCTTTCTATTTACGCGACACGTTTGAGTGACTTTCGTTTCGGTGCATTGACCTTTTAACACATTTTCAAGAATCGGTCAAAACCCTCTTCCCTTCTCCCGATCTAGGTTTTCGGAAATTTCCGATGCGTCAAGCTTTGTCTCGAGATATAGTTTTTTACTTTACGCGAATAAGAACAAACGAGAGATTTTGCAGAAAAAAACAGAAATTAATTCTATAAATGATCTTTTCTGTTTCAGGAACTGCGAGTGTCGCGGTCCATCGGACGATTCTCGTCGTCATTCTTGTCACATTGATCGTCGTCGTGCGATAATAACGACGAACATTTTCTTTTTGTTTTTCCACGTTGCTTCCTAATCATATAGACGTTAGGAGAGAGATCTCGCGGTTTTACCCTTATCTATATTACTAATTCGTAAACTTCATTAAAAAAAAAAAAAAAAAAAAGTAACATCGTACCGATATGCATATAATAAGTGTACGTTCATTCACGCGTGTCGTCGGCGTACGGTAAATAAAGTCTACACACACACAATGCGCGTACGCCCATAGGCTCTAAATGTATAATTCTCGTGTACGCGCGAGGCAGACGATCGGCGGACGATCGAGAAGATCGGACGACGATCCGACACTCCGCGCGTACAGTTTAGATCGTCCGAAGTCTCTCTATAGCGAGAAGCGTTCGAGCGACGCTCAGAGTCGCGTCTTTTGTATCGCTTTCGAGATACATGTCGATGTTATTCTTACTACAATTTTTACAAAGGCGTTTTCTATTTTCACGACATATCATTTATTCACCCTGACTGTCCCTCCTTGTCCTCAGTCCCTCCCCGCGTTTTCTCTCGGAAATTTCTTCGTACAAAAAACGAAGTTAATACAGTAATTATCTCGATAAGAGTTCAAGTTCGGGAGTCGGAGTGTCTTTCCAATTCGAGAGAGAGAGAGAGAGAGAGAGAGAGAGAGAGAGAGAGAGAATCCGGGTAGTTTTTTTCTTGGAATAAGTCATAAATTTTTACGGCCGTTTGAGAGAAATCCAATCAAGAGAAATTACAATTGAGAGAAAATTTCGAATTCTTACCGAGGTAGTCGCTGCAGCGACGAGAGCGATATCGCGAGCGATTTTTTTACACACGTTAGGCAAATCGCAACAAAAAAAACGTCTAAAATAAGCAAATCGAAAGAAAACGACGATTTATCTTGCGAAACTCATGAATATCTCATTCTTGATATCTGAAGATCTGATAACAACGGTCATCTTTAAAACGAGTTCTCTTGATTAATCTGCGTTTTGTGCGATAAAAAAAGAAAAAGAAGTTAACGCGCGATGAGAGGCGGCGCTCTTTTCCCCTCGTTTCCATTTCTATCGTCTTTCCGATAATATTTTTAAGTGTTACGTTGCTCCGCAAATATTTTTTCCATCTTTATATAATTAATCGAGCTTATCTCAGTTAATAAAGCAGATATGTATGTCAAATGCTAAAGAAATAGCGCACAAGAGCAAGTACTACCTATTCTCATAGTATAACACTACATTTTTAAACGATTTGATGATATTACATTTTAAAACATATCTTCAGAAAAAATCAAGAATATCTACTTATTCTCGTATTTAAAAAAGAGAGCTTTTATAACAAATCTCCATAAAAAAAAAAAAAAAAAAAAAACGTCCTTATCACATTGTGTGACAATCGTCTCGCGACTCTCGCTCTCGGGAGAAATCTTTTATAAAGAGTCTCGTTTTTTCGTTGTAAAATGATCGCGTAGGTCCTTTGCGCGCGGTTGAGTTGAATCCTTCCTCACTCAATAACCATATGAAACGCTTAATCGGGTCGCTTTCGTCCCTCTTCTGACTAATTGTAAGACATAGTTAATCTCATATCGGTTATATGTCACGCGTACGAAATTACTATATCGTATTTTCGATCGATATTAAAATATTCTGACAGAATGCAAGCGTGCGCGCGCGCACGCACCCACGTTTCGGCCGAAGTTAAGAGAGGAAATGCGGACCTCCACTTAGGCTCGTCCGCGACGTGTCGCTGTAATTAACAATAACGCGTAATTCCACGCTCGACCGACATCGGGCAGCATCGGTATGGTAAACGCGCCGGTTGAATCTGGACGTTTTTCTCGTTTTCAACATGCGCAACGCAAGGGAATTACACCAGGTGTTAATTACCAGCGCCCAATATTCGAGTAAACCTTGCATCGTGTGTCAAATTTGTATAATCGAGTTATTGCTCCGAATCAACGTTAAAAAATAAAAAACTGGTATCGAAAAAAAAATCGTTGGTCTTTTTTTAGACCGAAAACTGATACTGTTTTTTGTGTGTATGTGTATTATAATACGTGTATGCCACACAAGCGCGTGTAAATAAAATTATTTTAGATATATATTTTATCGCGGGAAAATTATCAGCTTAAAAAAAAAAAAAGTTCACTTATTCGAAAAAACTCTTTGAAAAATTTATTCAACACGGTCGTTGGTCATTTATTGCATAATTGATAATATGGCATGTTGTTGTATTATGCCAATAACTTTTATTGAATACTTTACCGACTCGAGTGATAAGTTTTTCTATCTAGTTTGTTACGCCTACCTGATCACCATATTACACTATATTAAGGTCAATTGATTCAACGCTTTATATGTATATTGATTCAGTTTGAGACAGTTTCACATCATATGAACTCTTTCGCGTAAGCGTGGCTCCGATCGCGAAAAGCGTGTACTTATAGATATCGAAGTATTATATGAAAGTTACATGAAAGTAGCACGTACATATGCAAACGGGCGGAAAAAAAATCACCATAGGCAATCCGCGAGCGTTATCAATTGTCGGCGTCGATCGATACGCAATTACACGTCAGTTGGGAATATTTTTCGGCGCTGTGTAACGTATTTTGACTAAAAACCAAGCGCTGTTGTGTACGAATACACCGAGCAAAGTGCGCTGTACATGTATATGTTATTGCCTTACACGAGAGAGAGAAAAAAAAATACAACAAGAAAAATGTTATTGTGATTTGAAAACTCATATTACGCGCAAGCCTATGAAACGCACATCCGCCGAGTAAGTATATAATATATGTGCAATATATATACATATATATTTGTGACAAGAGAAAAAAAACCGGTGCGTCTTTTCGCTGTAATATTCCGCTTTCCTCTCCCCTTTCGAGGCATTCCGCCCTTGGCGGTGGATATGGGGCACAAATATTTGACGGAATTTCGTTTCGACGCGACGAATGGTGTACTTCCCTTGTAAAGTAGGAGAGATCTAGCGTCGCTTGCAAGATGGAAGAAAAGAAAAAAAACAAAGGGGGGAAAAATTGACACATATCTGAGAAGAAAGAGAACTTTACGGATTTTTTTTTAACGGACGAAGTCCGTTGCGGTTCAATTCTAGAAAGAGAAAGGAAGCTAAATACGCTTTCTCTCTCTTTCTTTCTCTCACTCACTCTCTCTCTCTCTCGAATCGAGGGCAGGTGCGACAAAAAGTACGAATCTCCTGCCCGCGCATCCGACTTTTCGCATATTTAAGCGACGAATCTTTTTGCGCATTTTTCCACGGATATTAATGCGGCAAAGCTTATTTGCGTCGGTTGAATAATAGAAGCAAGATACGTAAAACAGGTTACTTTCGCGTTAAAACGAATTTGCGCAGTTTTGTGAACGTTTGTATAAATTCTCAACGGAATTTTGAAGAAAAACGAAAAAGATACATATTTTGTGTGTGTACGCGTATATATACACTTTTGTCGTTCTAAGTAAAAGATGTGCGCGCACTTTTCTTCGGACTTGTACTTCAACATGATCTTTTGTACTTTGTGTATTCTGTTACATAAATTAGTACACACAGAAAGTAAGAATATACCCCCTGTTCCTTCTTCTGTCTAAGAGTTAAAATGCGAGTCCGCACGACACACGACTGTATTATTATTTATAAATCATGTAAGTGCACGATATTTCGAGATACGCTCAAGCTAAATATCCTTTTGATATATTTTTCGTATTTAGACTCTAGATGAAGGATTTTGCATCGCGATTGTCAATGTAAAGAGCGACGTCGAGACGCAAGAAAAAAAAAAGACTCGGCGTCGTGTTTACGCTCGTTAAATCGCATGGAAAGAAAAAAAAATCCGCGTTTCATACGGAGAAGTGCGTTAAGACCCTTAATAATACATGTCGTTTTACGAGTAAGTGTAAGTGTTCACGAGTCTCTGTAAATATGTACATAATTTTCATCGTTATTAAAATTATTCATCATTATAACGCTGCCCGGTATCATTGTCTGTGTCTTTTGTGTATGTTAAAACTGTTATATATATACATATATAAAACCATTTTTTCTTTCCTGTTTCCTTCTCTTGCAATTATTATAAGAATACTTGTTTTCTCTCTCTCTCTTTTGTAATTGTAATAAATTACAGATTTATCTTCTCTTTTAAACAAACACCAAGTAACGGCAACATTATGTCAATGTTATAATTTCTCTCTCACCTACGTAACTGTTATGTACACAACACGTGTTAAATTACATTTACATTGTTGAGTGGGAAGTATAACAATGGGAAGTGATATAATATTACTCAAATATATGATAATATTGCTGTTACTATTTATACTGTGAGAGATATTATTGTATCTCTATATTGAAAACTTTGTAATAACAAGAACATGAGAAAGGAAATGATTTTTCAATATTTCGGTTATTTATTTTTCGATAAATGTGTGTATAGACAAATATATATATATATATCTGCGAGAGATTACCAGAACTAAAAAAACAGTAAACAATGAACACTCACCATTCTCGTTGATAGTTTTCCATTTGTTTTCCATTGCGTTTTCCATTGCGTTTTCCTTTACAACCAACATCTTTCGTAAACACTTTTCGATCTGGATTCGCGCGATTCTGAGAACATAAAATGACAATTAACAACTAATCTGAAAAGTTGTCGCGCGCACATGTCTCTTTTTCTTTATTATTTACCTTTTTTCCTGAAGGATGCAGGCTCGGAAAAGGATCTTCGATCGAACTTGTATGCTTGTTTGATTCACGACGACGATTTCTTTTTTGCGAAACAGTACAGTTTACAATTTTGTGCGATTCATTTTTACTTCTCGCGTTAGTTGTCGCGCACTACCGCGAAATACACGCTATTCGACCGTTCTCGGCTTTGTTCGCGAAACTGTCGCTGCTTCGGACAGCTTCGGTTCTACTTGCGGTTATATGTGTTTTCGTTTCACGATCAAAATTTACGATAAAAACACAGCAATAAAATGTTTTCCTTTCAATCATTTTTATTCTTTTAAACAACAACATAGCAAAATATTACCAAGTTGAAAAACAAATGGTTTTAATAGAAAGCTCAAAACGTTTTTTTATTCATGTCAGATATCTGGTCTTATATATTAGACGGCAATTTTTTGCGCCGTCTTTATTGCATTTCTAATTTTCGAGAAATAATGATGTTACTTAGTCTATCATGTGTCAGTATTGTTTTTTATTCAATATTTTTTAATTAAATGTTAAACCCGATGTAAATACTTTTCTTTGAGAATCGCGTTTTGAATTAAATTGGATCTTGTGATATATCTATCTCAAATATATCTTAAAAGATTTTCTATACATATTATTGAATAAAATTATAAAAGTTTTTGGCAATTTATTGCAAAACAATTTTTAGTATATCTCACGACGTCGTTTATTTATGCTGTGTTAATAAATGTAATAAAATAAAAGAAATAAACCTTCGAATGTATCGACGTACCTTCGAGCGTAGCGCGGCGACAATGGCGGCGTTACTGTACAAAACGGCGCCAACTTCGGATATATGTAAAGGCGCGTTCACACGTCGTTCGTATCGAAAGGTTCGTTTGCATGAAGACAGATCTCGTTTCTGATTGGTTACTCATCGAGCTTGTAACTTGGATTCTAGAGACATCTCGCGTAATAAAAGAAAAATAGTTTTTGAATATTCGTTAGCATCGAAAGGATATACGTATATTGTTGTTATCTATCGTAGCTTATAAAGTGTTAAAAGTGAGAAATTTGTTAATAACGTGAACATACAATTCAGGTATATACAATATACAAAAATATTGACAAAATGTATAGATAAATATTCAAAATATGACGAACGCATAACCTCAAAGATGTAGTTCAGAAACGAATTGACATGAAATAATAATTTTAAATTAATTTCTTCACAGTAAAAAAATGTTATTAATATTATTATTAGTATTCCAAAAATTGTCTAGCACTCTACATCTAAAAATAAATAATAATTGTTTACCAAAAGATATTTAATTTGTTAACTTTTTTTTAGTTAAATCAAGATGGAGCCTATGATTCTAGGATCACCAATGAGTAGCCCTATTCAAAGTCCTGGCAGTCCAGGAGCCTCTTCAACATATTTGCCTAGTTTTCTCTTGGGTGACACTACAACTGTAATATATAATCTCTTATTAAGTTTGAAATATGTGCAACGCTCCACAGAATGCTAATAATTATTCTTCAATTTTGTAGCCTCCAAAGATCAATGTTATGAACATTCAAGAAAATCCACGCCATTTGAATATTACAAATTCCAGCGTAATGTCATCAGTTTCCTTCACAACTCCAGATTATCGATCTAATCGTCAGAAGGCTGTATTTGGGAACACTACAACTCCTAGTACGCCCCAAATGAGTCCAAAGAATCATACTGGTGGACCTCCGACACGTGGATTGTTTGATACTCTAGAAAGTTCACCCTTATCGTCTCCATATGCTTCCACTGCGAAACCAACTACATCAACTGCTGCTGCTGCTGCTGCTGCTGTATCTCCAGGCCAATCTAAGCACATGATGAGCACAGTAAGCAGTCCGCTGATGTTTCCTAACAGTTCACTAACTATGAGCACCAGCGAATCCCAGAGTCTGCAGCAATGGGTAACGGTTTTTGGTTTCCTTCCGTCCGATATCAAGGCTGTCTTCGCTTTCATGTCCACGCGAGTTCGCATAGTGGACAAACACCTGGGTCCCCAGCCTCAGAGTAATTGGATACATTTGAAATGTGCGTCAGAGCAAGAAGCGCAGAGAGCTCTTGCGTGTAACGGCAGCATCATTTCTGGCTGGACTATGATCGGTGTTGTACCGTGCACGGACGAGAGTGTCATCTTGGGTTCGGACAAAGAGAATCGTACAAAGCTGAACGGAAGTATGAGACAGTTTCCTTCGCTTCTCAAAACTCCCGTCAGTCCGTGTCAATCGCCGTTCAACTTGTCACCCACGTCGAAACGACGAAAATTACGATCTTTGGCGGGAGGTCAACCTTTTAGCCCGCAAACGACGCAATCGCCGGAAAACGCTCCGCAAAAATCAACTGGTTTAGTTTCGAAAGCAATGGAGTATGTATTTGGTTGGTAAGATTTCGCTCGTGAATACGTAACGGTACGTCGGTAAAAGCATACAAATTTTATGCAATAAGAAAAAAAAAATCAACAACACAGGAATTATTGCTAAGAACTTTGATAATTGTGAAAACTGTCCTACATGATTGAGGAAAGTGTTTCTTTTTATAAGTACATTTTTTTTTGTTACAACGCAATTATATACTATTGCATGTTATATTTATAAGTTTATCTGTACATTTATATAGATTAATTAAAAATCAGACAATGTGTACTTCTACATGACTAACGTAATCTTCTTATTGCACATTACACACACATCATTACCAAACATCATGTACAAAACTTGTAAATGTTTCTTTGTTAGCATTTATTATAGGATAATTCATATTAAATTCCAGAATTTATGAATGAGAAGACACTCTCTCTTCCTGTTGCAATAAAATAATTCTTATTTGTTATAGCAATATTATTATAACAATGTATCATTATGGTCACATTACACATTACATTTAATATATATTAATAACTCTATCTTCTAAATTGTGAGCTGATCAAATTAAGATATTTAAGTTTAATTTTCTATAACAATATATCCATTTACAAAATTGTGATTCAGAATTTTCTATCTTCATTCACTCATCTTCATAAATAAAACTGAAAAAAAACTACACTAATTACTGCTAAATGTTCGATTATTTCGGACCTTCGATTGTGGCACTACCCAAATCAGTCATCTTGGGATATTTTACTTTTTTCTTGTCCAATTCGTCCTGAGCCCATAGTATCATTTTCAATAGATTACTTATACGGGGACAAGTAAATTCTCTGTGCTCCATTTTCAATATGGCAGCATTTAACTCGCTCGCAATCTGTAACAGAGTACAATTAAGACTCAAGATTTACAAACTCGGTTTGATACTGAAAAAAATTTATCACTCACTTTTTGCCTATGTGTCGGATGTAAGAGATCGCTAAATGGGCTCTTGTGCGGCTCGTCAAAAGCTAACAACGCCAAGGTACGTTCTAATTCGCACAATATATTATCGTCAGATTCTCCAGCTTCACTTAGCTGATCCTGAGCAAACTGAAGCGCCTCTTCAATTCTACCTGTGCGTATCAGTTCGATAAGATGCAGCTGCTGCAGATGAAAGTAGAGATATCTGTCGTTGTCCAGCAGCTCGGGATGCAGCTGATTCACCAAGTCTGTGGCCTCTTGAATACGACCGTTCTCTATAGCATCGCGAATACGAATTCTATCGTCCAACGAGCTCAATTCCACCGTTGGACCTACTCCCGCCTCTTGTTGGAATTTCTCTGCTACTTCTTTGAACCCTTCTGTGTACGATAAAGCATTTAAGTTTATTAGACAACATATATGTATGACACTAAAACACATGTATTATTTACATCTCTAATAGAAGTTAAAGTTCTTTTTACCTGTCATTAAGTAATTCATTATTAGATTGTTCATTGCTGCTTTCTGCACGTGACAATTGGAAGAGTTCTCCTCTAGCTTCGTTATCCATTCTTCCTTGGATATGGAATCGGACGAAGGTTTCTCACTCATTGTCTTTCAGAATTTCTGCTTCACAGTTCTTCAGCTAAGTATACATACATATATATACATATATATATATAAATATACATCAAAATTAATAAAATGTTATAACATTGTGTTGTGTGCGCGCATCAAACTCGTTGAGAAGTTTTTAAACAGCTCGGAAACGTAACAGCTGATTAACTGTCCGAGGCGCGACGAAAAAACAAATATATAAGAAACGTCACTCCAAAAACACTCGGTGGGTGATCACACAAGCGTGTCATTGAACATAACGAAGGATGTAAACAAGTATTGTACGACGGTAAAACAGCTTGTTATAATAAAATAAAATTTGTCAAAAATATTCTAAGAGATATGTACAACAATACAGCATGCGATCGATCGGCAGGTCTTGATTAATAGGCAAGGCTTGACGTAAAAAAAAACGATGATACACACATATATCCTTAAATAGTATCCGACCAATAGATTCCCCTTCCTAAATAACAATCGACCAATCACATCGAGTATCGAAGTGGAATTCTCGAAATTGCTTGAAACATACTTGTTTCGATTATAATCGTTATTATAAGTTTTTATTTAGAGTCGTCTCTCGCACAGCACGGATTTTAATTTTATGCTCATTCGATATGTTTTTACGCAAAAACAAAAGGTTTAGAGATACGAAAACATCACTCGATGGTAAAAAAAAAAAACAAAGTTATTAAGCGTTAAAAAATGATTTTTAGGTTAGAAAATCTGTCAAATCGAAGGATTATGTCGAACTCTTCGCTGAACGCGGCCATTGTGGTGTTTTTATTTCACTTTAAGCCTGTTCTACATTGATCGCAAGCGCAAACGCAAGGAACAGGTCTGGTAGAATTGACCAATCGTATTGATCAAATCAGCCAATTGATTGGTCAATTCTACGAGATCAATACCTTGCGTTTGCGCTTGCGATCAATGTAAAACGGGCTTTACATATTCAAATAACGCGGGACGCTGCCGGTAGATGGCGTATGTTGTCCGTCGAATTTCACCGGCTCCAAAGTGTGAGTCTTGGCAATTTTATATTTTTCCGCCGCACAATCTCTTGGCTCAAGCGAAATGCACTTTATTATAAAAGGTAAATCTATTGCATTTGTATAATATAACTCGAGAAATCGATCGAACTTCTTGCTATTAAACAATATTAATTATATTGGTTGATTATTGACCAGTCGCGATTGAATAATATGTCAATCGATCACGTCAATCGAAGATAAAACAATTAAATAGTCTCGAACATAAAATATGATACATATATGTATATTAGAGTGGCTTTTATGTTTGACTTTTGAATTTTTTTCGCGACGCCTCCGAGAATGGTTCTAATAAAAAATTAACCTGTGAAAAAGTTCAGTCTGGTCGGATAAGGGAAAAAGGAGCCCCTAAGCTCTTTGAAAAAAAGTAAATAAATTATTTAAATGCATAATAAATTCGTTCTATTTGATTATCTACCGATTTATTGATTACATCAAAAACCACGTTAAACAACAATTGTAGTTCTGGGTCAGAAGTACATTTCAATCGAATTTTTTCGCGGCACCTTCTGCGGAGAATGATTCCACTTGTTAAAACAAATTTGTGAAAAAGTTTAGCCCAATTGGATAAGAGGAAAAGGAGCCCCTGGGCCTTTAAAAACAATTTTAAAAATTGTTTGAATGCGTAATGAATCGAGTGTTTATTTGATTATTTTTTAACATATTGATTATATCGAAAAACATGCAAAACAAAAATTGTAGATTTGGAATTCAGAAGTATGTTTACGCCAATAACAAATAAAATGCGGCCGCGACTGCTCTCAGTTTTCTCTTTGATTTTAATTTTTCAATATCATTTTGTACGATTTCTCGAGTAAAATTAAACCTATTTGTTACGTACGAGTAAAAACGGTATTTAAGACAACAAATGTATTAATGTTTTTATACAAAGCAATGATGTATTCGCGATGGAAAAGTTTTTTTTATTTGTTTCTTATCTAACTTTCTGCTACATACTTATGTATCTATAATCACTTCCGCTCTATCACTAGATTTTCTATGGAATTTTCTAGAAGAGAGATATGCAAAAAAGAAATTTAAAGGTATTTCATGAATTTCTTGTGAAAAATTTACTACTCTGTTTGCCATATTGCATGTACATTGTATACGACACGTACGAATTTACGTTTCAGCCGATAAAAAATGTATTTGCATGGAAATAACGACGGGAAAATGTTATCGAGTTCCGTTTCAAAACCGAGAAGCCCACGCTGTTTTCGCCGTTTTCATGAATGAACCGCTCCTGCTTCATATCAACAGGCGTCCTTTACTATGCAGCTGGAAACATCGATCCGCTCCTTCGGGGGACCACCACTTCCACGAAGTTATTACATTTTACGTTGTACAGGGTCGTAACGAGAAATCCAATGTCACAAGCCTGCTATTAAAACTTCGCTCAACTCACGCGTTTTTAATTCGTAAATGCGCCTGCTCCTTTCATCGTTTGGATTATGTTCATCACGAAGGTAACTAATTTATTGTCATTTTTCATACTTTTAATCATCTTAATTTGTTGTAAAATTTTTTATTTTTTCTGTGTTATGTGTCGCGAGATAACCAGATAGACCTATAACTCCTTAAAACTGTAATGTTTATATGAACTCTAATTTTCTAAAGCCGATTAATGTCCGAGCGATTCTTGGAAATGAAAAAGTCTTATTAACTATTTAGTGGAAAAAATTCTAAACAAATGAAAAATATATATCAAACCATAATATTATTTCTTTAATACAGAATGTTGAATAAAGCCCCGTGAATTTTTATAGAGAGTTTTTGCAACGTTTTAATCAATGAAAAAAATTGCGTTAGACATAAATTTCGAGAATTTCTTGGATACGTACCTAAAAAAAAAGAACGTTTACAGGATTAGGGTTCAATTCAATTTAATCCAGCGAAGTGTCTGCTTTCTTTACTACGTTCGGATGAAATTCAACAAACTGTCGTAAAACAGTGTAAGTAGACACGTGCTGTCCAGTGTATATAACATGCTATCGACATCAACAAGCACTCTTTAATGTTATGAATGTTGTGTTGCGAGAGCAAATAGATCTCAAGGGGGTACATGTGAGACGCCGATCGTATGACGTCATTGTATTCTCACCGTCTAGAGTGGGAAAACGAAAGGACAGAGCGTCTGCCTCTCTCGTCTCTCTCGTCTCTCTCTCTCTCTCTCTCTTTAGCCAGCCACGGGAATTCGCCACTTCGTAAAAGCCTCGAAGGCTGACGTCAATGGGAGCTCTGTTATACGAGGGAGCTGTGATACCCAATGAGAACTTGCGCGATTTCATGAAATCCATCACGATCCATTGGTCGGTCAACCATCTAGCAAAGACGAAACTCTCTCTTTTTTTTCTTTTCTCTCGCTACTAACTTTTTTCTTCTATACTGGAGAAAACGTGGGTGTGGCATTAACAGAAAACTTAGCCAATATCGCGTGATATATAATATATTTTCTTTCGTTGCGTCGAACTTGATCAGTCAAATCAAGTTTGCCGGGAGAAAGTTAACCGGGAGAAGTTGGACGTAAGAAGAACGATGTGTACGACAAAAAGAAGACGAGAGAAAAATCCGAGATCGTAGGAAACTCGACTCTCGAAATATAATTAGCATGATGGAAAAAATTCTTGTTGAAGTAAAATAAAATAATTATATTTAATTTATTTTTTAATTGTTCTACATTTGTTTTGAAATTTCTTTTCATCGCGCGAAATAAAATTTTTTCTCCATTTTTCAATATTTTTGTTTTATCTATAAATTTAAATTACATCTATAAATTTAAATTACATAACGGTCTCTTTTATCAACTTTTTTTCCATCAGCTTATTTATACATTCCATCAACTGATGGATGTGGTAACATATAAAAAATAATAAATATCGTTATTACCGAAATGAAAAAGAAAGAAAAGAAGAATAACCTGACAATGAGAAATATGAAAAATAATATAAAAAATATAAAACGATAACTCGAGAAGGGGAACGAATTATCTCTTTTCAAAAGCATTATTCATACATAAGTAAAGGAAAAGAAAAGGGGAAGAGTTCATTAATGTTTTCGGATTAAGTTTGCTGTCACGCTTCACTGAATAATATAGAGCAAATGAAGAGAGGCAAAAAATATGAAGAGAGTCTCGTCGGTCGAAGTCCTTGTAGATAGCACATTTAATTAATTTCTAAGAGCGAAAAATATCCGAAGTTTCGTCTCTCTACGTAACAACGGAGCAAATTTAATTAACTTTGTTTTGATCAAACGGAACTTACTCAACTTTTTTATCTGGAATATAATTAAAATAATTTTTTTTTTTCAAAAAGAACTTCAATAAGATATTTTTTTCTAGGAATCGCGTTTTTGTTTACCGTTACGTTCTCGAGATTTATTCATGGAAAATTCAATGGAGCGTTAAAACTTAAACGTTGCATATAAAACAAAGAGTATATCAACACAAGACTTCGAGCATTAGCGATAAAAGTGTACGTAATCGTCTCCAAATGTGCGTTGCTGAAACTGTTAATACTTGTAAATTTTTTATTCATCTCTGCAACACGGTTCTCTCTCGTTTCGTCTTCTTGTCAACAAGAAGATACGGAGCAGACACGTGTTTTTTTTATGTAACGAACTAAAACAACTCGCTACATGCGGATCCTGTAATTTACCGGAAGCACCGGCTGCACCTGGCGGTCTCGTCCGTATTCCGTATGCGCGAGAGGCAATTTGCGCAAGCGTGTTGCAGTAGTCTGTGACGGCGACAACGCTGACGAAAATAGGTCAATTACGATGCGAGGGCGGATGCACCAGGAAAAGCGTTGCAGCAGAGCTGAACGGAGAAGCCAAGAACGACTATTTCTCGTCTCTCTGTAAGTGAGGGCCGACCTGATAAACGACGCGACTACTGTGCTATATACTACTTGCTCGAGTATACCGCGCCCGACCGTTCTTTTTCCAGACCGTCGCTCACGATCATTCAGAAAATCGGCATAATCGTCCCGCATTTACATCGAAGATACGAACGGAATAGTCGCCGGTTATTTTTGTATTCATAGCGTTTGTGATTTTTACGTCGATTACGATCGATAGTAATAAAACTTGCGATTCCGGCGATTTTGAGGAAATATTCATATTAATTTTTTTTTTGTGTGAGAAGAAGATTGTGCGTTGCTAACTGATTTCACACGTAATTTTATTATTTCTTCGCGATAGATTTTGTTGCTTGAAAAATGATGTATGTCGTCACAATCTGAAATTTTTATCAAATCAGTTTTACTTCACGACGAGATAATACAATAATTCAGCGTGACATTGTAATTACACAAAAATATATACCGTGAAAATTGATTGATAACTTATGCACGTTACAAAAAGAGCACGTCACATATACACAATTATATAGAAAAATAGAATTCTATAATTTATAGGTTTGTTTAAATTGCACAAGGTTCTCTTGTTTATTTGTTCGTTCGAAATATCGTTAATTTATATTTACATGTTGTATCAAAGCGAATCCTTATATATAACACCGACATTTTACGAAACGTGCGAAAATGTTAACATTTATCATCTCCGCACGTCACCTTTTCCGTCTCTGGCGAGGAGTTTCTTCATACAATTGAGAGTGCTTATCTTTCAATATTATCAATAATGTTATTTCGAGCTACGTTATTCCTGAGAAACGATCGTGTTCTGAGAATCGCTTCTATTCGGAGATATATCTTTATAGAACAGAAATTGTAATCACGTGTTCAGTGATAATATATCATTTTCTTCATTAGCTCTCTCGTGTTTACAAATTGCAAAATCTATCCGATCTGTTGAAGAGATGTAACGAACACCTCGGTCTGCTGACGTAGAAAAAAAAGAAAAATATATATCTTTGCTGATCTCCGCGATTCTCGGTACGGTATGGTGGGAAAACGCGTAGGCGTAGAAACCTCGCGTGGGCGTGCGGTCTGTTGCGAGGGTTCAAGCTAGATGATTAGAGATAAATATACAGAACGAAGGCTATGCTACGGGCAGCGTGGAGAATCTCCTTTTCCTTGCAATGAAATAGCACGGGCTTTATAGCTGTGCTGCGACTTTAAGATAGTTGTTGGATTTTCACCCTGAACTCTCGGGACCGGTTATTCCGCCATCCCACGAGACGCAAATTTGTTTCGAGACCAAACACTAGAGACGCGCGCACGCGTTTATTAATTTTGCGTGTCCCATATACAGTGGCACAACCACCAAATGTCAAGTTATTGTTGTATCTCGTGAGTGTTATCTACCGAGAAAACTGTGTACGTACATACAACTCGAGAAAAAAGAAGATACCTAGTCAATGTTTTTTTTTTTTTTTTTAACTGAAAATACACTCGACTCTACTCTTCAAGTATACCTGTCATATAGATCGTAATCTTGCAATACGTATGTATAACGTCACTGTTTCAAATGCCAAAGAAAAATTACCCCTATGACGTTTGCATAGCGGTTACATTAAAATTAATGACGAGTAGGCAATGTCGTCATAGCCGTCATACATGACGCAGTGGGGGTTGCTATGGTTGGCACGAGGTGCTTTAGCTTTGCTATTAATTCTTCTAGGAGACCGAGCTTTGTACTCCGTAAGTTTTATGCGGACGAGGTAACAATAGTCACCCTGTCTTACTAACAATAGCAAGACAACTCGGCTTTTTTTACGCTGGTTTTTTAATTTAAAATAAATTCCATTAAAAAAATTCTAGTTTATAAACCGAGAGATATTCTGAGAGAGAGAGAGAGAGAGAGACAGAGAGACAGTGTCGTTAATAGCTACTTATCACAGAAATGTTCGCGCAAGATATTTCCGCGGTTCTCCTTCAATCTTGGTGAAAGATGAAGCAGTTTTTAACGAAAAGCGAATTATTTATATTCGAACGACCAACGAAGAATTTCATTCGAGGATTGACAAGAAGAAGTAAATCGATCTTCGCATCCGTCAAAAGAGGATTTCGTTTGAATTACAGAAAAGTATTGGGTTACGACGAAAAGTGATTCGTGCGAGATAAATAATACCGCTCTTGTATTATCTTTCACACAAGAACGTTCTGTTTATATAATAAATGTAATTCAATATTATTAACATTTCACTAAAGTATCTCGATCGAATCGTTTTCTTATATTTATAAAAGCACTGAAAGTTTAATTATTTGGATATTGAAACAAAAACAACTCGCGGTTGGCGGTCGACGTCTCTCCTAACGATTGTAGATGTTATATATATATCTTCGAAATTATGACTTCTAAACCTGATGACATTTGTGCGCGATAGCAGCTGCAAAATGTAAGATAAATTCCGTTCCGATAACGCCGACTGACAGTCTTTTGACAGCAAAATAACAACATAGCCCCCACGCGAGCGATTCTTACGAGGCCGTGTTTCGCCGGAGAAGACGTAGTTGGGTCATTGCGTGGGCAGATGTTCTCTTGTACATCAGGACGGAGGGATTCGTGTGTATGTATACGCATCCACTTGGGGTACGTGTGTATGTATGTGTACACATATATATATATGTGTGTGTGTACACACGTACACGCATCTGCATCGCTGTGTGTGCGAGGAAACGCAACGCGCGCGCAGCTACCCCAACGGCGACGTCGTAGGGTGCTTACCACCACGAGTCGAGATGGCGAACGGCTCGTTCACCAAGGTGGGGGTTGGTTGATCGACCGTACCCGCTTTTCAACTCGTCCTGCTGAGCTCCGACATTCATTCCACCTCGAGCCGGCGGATCCGTTTGGACGTGTCTGTAGCAGAGTACTAGCGGAGGATTGACGAAGAGAGGGCGAAAGGTGATTCAGAAGAGCGAAGCGACAACTTCCGCATCTCGTAAGGTAGATGAAAATATTATGTTCTTCCGTAATCGATTTCCGTAATTCGATTTTGTTAATCGGCTATTAAAAGTTGAAGTGCTTTTGCGATAAACGTGAATTGCAAGCGCGATTTCATGTCTTATTATTATTCCGTTCACACACATCGCGGAGAACTGTTTTGCATTTGCAGCACATGCAATGCGTTTTTTTTTTTTGCATTTTATCGAACAAAGTTAACTTTATATTTTTTTAATGCAATTTTATGTTTGTTTTCTTTCGAAGATTCAGATCTTGTCTTCTGTGTCTTTTTTATTTTTTAGAATTTGATATGAACTGCGTTCTGTCAACTGAATCTTCTTGAAACAACACAATGAATCCGCGCTCGTTTCTCTCACAATTATTTGTAAGAATCATTGGCATTTATCTCGGACACTTGTCAATAAAATTCTAAGTTAATTAAGTTTTAATTGCGACTTTTAATTGCGATCCGGCCGTGCAGCTCGTACACGCCGATAAATGACTATAGTATTTGTAGATGCAACAAGTGTACGATTTCTAGGTCTACTATATCCGCTTTGACGTTACTACGCGCGGTTTACCTTTAATTGTAGAAAACTTTGTCGTTTATTTGGGACGTAGACAAATGTTAATCCTACTTGACGAGATATAATTTCTACAAGTGCTTAACTCGTATCTCGTTGAATTTTAAAGATGTTTCTTTGAATAACGAAATTATTACGACAGCACATTTTCACGCCACTGATTTCCACCACAAACGTTCCGTAAACGTTATTCAGAATCTCATTAAATCAGAGAAAACTGGTGTAAATAGTATAAAAAAAAAAGAAAAAAAAAATACAGGAACGTATAATTGTTGAATTATGTTTAGCGTTAAATCTCAAACGCGACAATTCGTCGTACGTATGTACAAAAGTTCAGTGCGGGAAAATGTGAAATACATCAGAGGGTTTTTCCGTATCTCCTGAAAATCCGATTAAACTTTCCATATTTCGTACTGCGTAACACGAGCTGTTCGCAATGCGAGACTGCGAGAAATACAATTACGAGTCGTGGTGCTGTATAAATACGCACGAACATGCAACATTCTGTATACACAATTTTGAACTCTGACATTTCGGAGTGATGGTGGAGCCCCTTTCTGTGAGCTCGGAGCTCTGCGGAGAGAGAGAGAGAGAGAGAGAGAGGGAAAGAGAGAGAAACTGCTATTTTCCCAGCATCACCGTTATAGAGCTCGCGCAATTACGCGAGTTCTGGGAGAGACCCCGCGTAATTCAGTAATGAAAAGCCAATTGAGAGCAATTAAGACGTAACTCGACACGCAGAACTTGTAGTTACGTAGAAGGTAGAACAGAGTTTCTGCGACATAGTCCTTATATAGTTTCTAATAATTAAAGTCGATATTGGGGCGCGGATTATCGATGCGCCAATCTCGAGATTTCGCGTAATAATAGCGTCGCGCGAATTTCAATCCGGTTTCGAGAGGATCCCAATTGATTACAATTGTTCGGAATATATGTATTTTTTTTATATTGAAAAAAAAAAACAAAACAAAAGTTCAGTAAGACAAATCTTACCGAAGTCGCGCACATGTGACATAGTATAAGCAGCTGCACACTTTTGCACCTACGTCATGTGATAGCGTCACAACCGAAGAAAGTAAACCACGTCGATTACGTTGTGACGTGGTCAGCTTGTGAAGCGGCTGAAGTATGTGGAACCGCGTCACACACTTGAAAAAATCATATCGCCAATTATAGAAACTCGCGCGCGACATATTACATTTTTATGTAACACATACACACACATATATACGGGGAGCCCTTTATTGAGCGCCCTGATTGCCCTCGCTTAATCTTTCACGCATCGTGAAAATAGACTCGTGGCATTTCCGATTATATATGTGATATTTATGTATCTCCCCTTCTTTCCGTGACGCTGTGTGAAATGCGGCCGATTTCAATCGTCTGCACGCGAAAGATGGCACGGGAAAAAAAGCGCGGGAGAAAAATATCGCGCGCGTTGTTCGATCTCGTTTAAAAAGAGAAAAAAAAAAGCGCGGACGGGAACTATCGGGAACGCAGGATACAAATTTCGCACCTCTGTCGCAGATGACGCACAACTGGGCGTGGTTGCTGCTCTTATTCTCGCTGGTCTCGACAGGCATGTGTATGCCCGCGAGTCTGATGGAGGACTTGAAAAAGGCGGACCAGGCTTCCGAAATTAAACACGAGACCATGAAACCGAAATGTAAGACACGAACGTTTAAGTGTATCGTTAACAAAAAGAAACAATATTTGATAAATAAATTTTTAATAAGTACTTACTGATAATAAATCGTTTTGCTCGCATTATTCTTGAGATTCGTATGTTTTTAACGTCGTTACTGTGTGTTGCTTTTAGCAAAACGAGCGCAGGAAATGTTGATATTCGGGAATCAGCAGAATCAACAGGCGCAACGCCCCGCTACCAGCGAATCCTTCACGTCAAAGGCGGAGAAACGTAAGTTTGTAACTGTTGTAAAATAAAACGGTTATTGCGCCCTCCGACGTGAATAATCCGACCAAAAATCACACTGAAACACGCTTTAGGAAACCTTGACATCTCGGGACTGGAACGCTTAAAAGCGGCTCTCGCTGGGGACGATAAAGCATCTCAGCAAACTAAATCAGCTAATAAACCCGTGTTCGGACGCGAGACGTATTTGCCATTCGACAGGAATTACGAGTAAGTCTGGTTCTTGCGTCAGCGTAAAATTGAGTTTCTCGGAATCCAATGTGTAACAATTAGAGAGAAACTTAAAACGAAAGAGTTTGAAGATAATTCAATTAAAATGAGGGAGTGAATTGTTTTCAATTCTACTTTTATCGCACCAGTAATTTAATATGTACATTTTTGAAGCGCCATACAATTTCTAATATATACAATTATTACAATTAACACAATTAATCTAATATACAATTTCTAATTTTCTCGACGTAATTCGTTTCTCTTCATTCTAACTCCGACAATTCCGGAGGAGGTGATTCGTAACGAGTAACGTATTCGCGTTCCAGTTACGATAAGGTTCTCATGAACGAGGTCGAGGAGGAGGCACCGCGTGTGTGGAACGTGCCGCCGTATTCGCGATATTACGCGAGCGAGGATCGGCGCAAGAGATCGGAAAAGTCCACCGCGACCGAGCTGTGGCCGAGTACGACGCTGCAGCCTCCGACCAGCTCGTTTCAGCCGAAACGCTTAGCCAGTCTCGCGCCAACCCGGCAACCGGTACAGGCTCAAGTCAAGAGGAGGTAAGTGGCCGCGTCCTAGTTTTCCTAATTCCGAAATCGATAACTCCCTGGCGTGATCGATACCAACTCCGAGAGCAAACTACAAACTCAATTGCCGTGGGTAATAAAATTTGCCAAAGAAACGGCGACAATAGTTTTGCTTATTCTCGGCTGCGTTTCATTCCCAACGAGGGAAAAGAAAACTCACTCGTTCGAAAATCGATTCGCGTGAGAATTTATAGATATATTAGTCCTGGCAATACGTCTAATATTAGATTTCCGCCGGGACGAGATGGAAAATCGACGGCTAAAAGGGGAGTAAAGTTTACAGAGAGAGAGATTCTATTTCCGCCTTTTTTTCTTTTACAATCTGGAATTAGAAAGTTCGCAATTTGCGTTGCTCTCGTCCTTAATACCGGGTGCAGCGGAGTTCCGCACGGTTGAATCCATCGACGCAACAGGGATTCCCACGCGAAGTAGGCGAAACGACTACCGGGGATATATGCAGTTCAGTATGCGCGCCCTTTCCGCCCATCGAGCAACCCTCTTTTCCTCCGGCGTTTCTTCTGAATGGGGATGAGAGGACTCGTGAGGGCGTTGCCCTCGGCGCAGGGACGGCGCGAGGTCGACTTGACGACCGAAGTCGTCGTATCGAACCACTTGCAGAAAGAGGCTGTCGTCATCAGACACTGGTATCAGTAACGTACACGCTTGGCTAGGCATTTCGCGAAAATTCAACGACATTATCGCACATGTGAATTTTCATACATCCTGACGTCGTCTTCGTGCAAATCGATCTATCCATTTCTCCGGGCAACTTGTGTGGAATTGAGATAAAATTAGATACGATTAAAACTCTAATAGTTTTTCGATAATCTCTCAATTCTTGTTCTACACATTTTTGACAATTTTCTTGAATGATTTTTTACAACATCAATGCAATGCGTAGTTTTTTTCCCTGTGTTTGGCGTATTGTAGCGAGATTAAAATAGCCGTCGCTTTCTCGGCAAGTGCAGTTACGGGAGTTATCGAGAGCCGAATCTAATTTCAGGAAATCGCGTGAACGCGAAAGCTCGATATCGAAGTCGTAAAAGTGCGAGTGCTCACGGAATATATTTCCTCAGGCCTGCGGTGTTTAAAATTAAACGCACAGGCTCTCTCGGGCAAACGTTATATCGTTTCGAAGTTAATGATCGCCGTCGCAACCCGTTATTTTTACACGAAAAATGTACAAGAATGCATTGCCTGACCGTCGTAAATGTCACAGGTTACTTCGGACGGAAAAAGAGAGAGAGGGAGCGAGAGAGAACAGCGATTAATTTTTCTTCTATGAAATTTTTATAAAACGATAACCGCGCGCGCGCCCCCGTTCATTACGTTAAACGCGATTACGTAACGCGTTATCTTTACATCAGCGAGCACCGTAATAACAATAGAAGGTAAAAGCACTTTGAATATTTTCATGAGAAAACACGCGTCCGAGAAAATTCGTGCTAAATTTCTCGCCTTTATCTTGATTTAACTTTATATAAATTTCGTTCAAACTTCTCGCTTAAAACACTCTTTGCATCGTAATTACGCGTTGCTAAATTCATTAGATCCAATTAAAATTCAAATTTAAATTCCGACGATATACCAATTAAAATTACATTTCTGGGATAAAATATACGGTTGTGAATGAACAAATTAAATAAAACGCGCGAGACAAACTTCTCTCGGCTAAGGAAAAAGATCTGTTACTCGAAAACGTTCCAAAACCAGAACTGTGAAGGGAAATTACACAGTCGGAAATCTCAGATGTGGTCTTTGAATAGCTGCTCCCGTTGAAAAGGGATCTCTCTGGGTTTCACTGGAGAAACGTTGCTATTGTTCTTCGTGGTTTAACGACCCGTGTCACACATTCTCGCGAATTTCGCGCTCACAAAGAGAGGGGTAATTCTCGCGTGCGACAAAGGTAAGCGCCGCCGGAGGGTAGATTGGTGGTGACAGGCATAGGATTTGCGACCATTGCATGTACGGCATTGTGACACACGAACGCCGGGTCGCGCCACTCACACCGAGAAGAATTTGGTGCAGAATCCACGAATCGCTCGATACGCGTGACGCAGATGGTACAGGGGTGGTGGTTGAGTATATTCGCGGGAGAGTGGGTCCACGAAAAGCTGAATGGGAGCCTGGAAGGCGGAACTGGGTCATAGCTTGATTTGGCGTATCTCCAACCAATCAGCTGACAGACACGATTCTCCGCGAATTTATTGACTATATATGGCATAGTTCCGGCGAGTCTTTGATTTGTGTGTGTTGATACGTCCTTCCATCGACCACAATAATCTCACTTGCAACAAACAACAACTACGTCACAATATCATAACGTCCTCATTTGAATGAAAGCACTTCGAAAATAGATCAGCAAAAGAAAAAAGAAGCATGTCATAAAAGAAATTCGTGAGATAAAATGTAAACCATATGTATTTCCGTTGCGATTCTTCTTGCAATATATTTGAAAGTTTTATCTCTTTGAAGGATAACAGTCTGATATATCTTATCTTAAGCTTTTTTTTTTTTCAAATATATGAGGTTCACATTTGTATAAGCGTTATAACAATATTATATCATTACATTTGCAATAAAATTACGAAATACAAAGAAACGCGCGTTGATTGCTCGTCGCAGTGGAAAGACCGAGCGTATAGTCAGCCGAGAATCGGTTTTGTCACGTAAAGCGTAAATACGAGCTTTTATTACGCGCTGATATATGTTGAAAAGCGTATGAATGGAAATGTGTCCTACGATCCTTCAGCTTACAGCCAATCAATCAGTTTGATAACGTTAGTTCCTGTTGAGTATCATATCGCTCGCGCAAAACGACGCACCTGTATAATTTATCCGATTTATCGGACGCGCAAGATGACAATTCCGTCAATCGACAAAAGAAAGAGAGAGAGAGAGAGAGAGATGCGAGACAGAATCGTTTCGCGACGTTTTGCGATTCACTGAACGTATTGTCCACTCGCCATTGTAAATATCGAGCACAAGTTTGAATGCAACTATCACAGGACTCTCGTGTTGACAAAGGATAGTTCGCGACGACGAGATAAAGTGCCGCTCGTGTCAAAGAACAATACCGCGCCTGATAAAAGGACGATCGTCGTCGACCGTTTTGCGTCACGGATAAGCATCGATCACTTTTGAAACATCGGGGCGCGAACAGCCGGGAAATAATAAATTTGCGAGCGATTCCGAAATTAGATTGCAAACCATCGATCTTGGCGCACAAACATTGGGAAAATGACAATTTGTTTTTTTCGTAATCAGATCGATGTTTCTCCTTTTTAGGAGACAATGTGTTTTTTTTTGTTTTGTACTCGTGAAAATTTCGCTGAGAGAGAGAGAGAGATAATGTCGGTGAGAGAAATATTTCGTTTCATCTTTCAGCGCCCCATATTATCAGGAACCGCGATTCAAGCGAGACTTGACTCTGGACATCGATCCGGAGGACTTGATGGCTCTTCTGTCATTGTGGGAAAACGAACGGCAACGTGCCTCCAGGTAACGATCGGCATTTGCATTTTTCAGACATTTAAATATCGAGGACTTGCAAAACTAACGATGTGTTTTTTTGCACGATAAACCTAGAAACTGGCGCAGATACGCCGGCGTTAACAACGACGAATACGAGAACGGGGACGACGGCGGTTATCTCGACGAGGAAGCTGCCAGAAACGGTTCGTCTTGAGATTCAGAGATCTCGGATTTTTCTTTATCTCGCGCAGAATTATACGTGAAAATAAAAAACAATAAACAAAGATCAGATAAGCAGCTTTTTATCCGACTCTTTTTCCAATTATTTCCTTTTCCCTTTCAGTTCTTCCGTGGCCGGAGTTCAGGGACGCGCCGATGTATTCCCCACGACACTACGACTCGCTGTCGCCCTCCGACATCGGAATAATCCGGACTCATCCGCCTAGTTATGACGAGCAGTACGGGGATCAAACGGAGCAACAGTTCGAGAGAGCCGCTCATGACACCCCCGTGTATGGCAATGTGCGATACGACTATCCCTATCCCCAGCGTGACTATCCCTATGACAAGAGATTTACGACATCCAAAAAATGGATACAGGTAAGGTCTCAGCTGTACGCACAATCTTGAGATAAGAAGAAAGATTTGGTTTTTTTTTTTATGGGAAAAGAGAAAAATTATTCTTTCAATTTTCAGAACTACGATCCGTATCTCGCTCAGTTACAAATGAGCTCTCAACCGCGAGGTTATTCCCATCATATCTATTAAATAATCCGCGATTCGAAGCTGAGGTCTGTGTGGGAAATCTCTCAGAAAAACAATTCGAAATATAGAAAATCAGCAGTTAGACATTTCCGAGAGTTGGGCGCTCCTTCAACGAAGCCTCCTTGCCGTCGCTCCTCCTCACAAGCTACTCTCCCCCTTTTCTCGCGGGAGGCGAGAAATAAGCAGGCGCAACACGCCGCGACGATATGTGGATATTTCACTCGTTCTGAGAAACACAGTGCTCACAGAAAGAAGCTTTCCTCGAGTCGCAAGAGCCGCGCTGAGAAATCAGAAAATGTCAATTCGCAAAAAACAAATATTTTCAAGACTAGAATTCTCTCATCGAAAATACCTCAGAAAAGTATATACGATGACACACGTATACAATACAAATCTATATTTAGGATACACTTTATCTTGTAATAATAAGAACTTGTGTCGGCTCTTGCCGAGTGCGAATTTTACAAGATCGAGAATTTTACGTGTCGATCAATCACGGTTTGTATCGAAAAAGTATGTCTTCTGCGTTATTCAAGCACGAGCTTCATCGAAGAATCTCGCGATCAGCTTCGTTCAAGTTCTCTCAACTCGCGATTGCGATGATTAAGAAAAAAATCAATAAAAAAAAGACAAAAAAAAAAAAATACTAAGAGAAGCTTCAGCGCACTCTTGTTGCTCGCTTAATGTTTAAGCCCCTTTTGCGTGTGATACGGGCAACGTTGCACTATTGTTGCCCGTAATGGCGCTACGACTGAATCAGTAAACAATCGTAGTATCGAATCAAATTATTCTCAGGCTTGGTTTCGATAACTCCGCGACTGATATAATTATATACATATGTACGTGTACATGAAGCGATGTACATGATAGTTTTGAGTTAGCATGAGACTAGATGTAGGTCTATTTGTCTACTAAATATAGGATTACCATCGATGAGAAGTGTCGGAGAAACAGAGAAAAACAAAAGCGAGAAGTGAATCGGTTTTGACTGTGTTACATTTCACTCTCTGCGCGCCGTTCGATTCTTTATACGTTTCTCTCTTTTTCATTGCTCAAAACGACGACTGTCAATCGCGAAACAGAAACGGAAGAACAGAACGAGCCGAACAATTCGAGCGGAGTACTATCGCAAATTTGACCCACTTGAAAATTCAAACCGAAAAAAAAAAACTATCTTTTTTGAAAAAAGAAAGAAACGTACATAAATTTGAACTGAGATTTATCGCAGCAGACAAATTTTATCACAGATACATATCTGTATGACGAGACAAAGAACAGCATTGGAGCGATAAAATCTTTCCCCGTAAAATCTTCGATGGTTACAAAAAAGTGTCAAAAACTTACGTGTCTACATCGTTAGTTATGGAAACGAGAATTATAAATGTTAATAATCATAACGTAACCGTCGTCCTATATCATGTATTGTACTCGTCGTTGACATATTCATATCTTTAAAGTCCGAAGAAATGTTCAAAACCGAGTTTTTAGCGAGCGTAATTACATTTACCGAAGAGTTCTCGTAAGATTTCTTCGAACCAAACACGGCCTTCCACATTACAACACTCCGAGGAGAGACTGAAAATCTCTGTATAATTAATATACATTTAACGTTTACGCATTCATTTATGTTATACGCTTGCGCGTTTTTTGCGAACACCACTTGTATACGTTTTGTTCCTCGTCGTTATTTACAATTAATTGCAAACACACGTGATATATCTTATATATGTTTCTTGTATGCACATATGAATATTTAATATCAATATGAAATCACTTTCTTAGGCAAAGTGAGTTTTTTTTTCACAACTTTTAATAAAACATCGTTAACTTTTAAGTATTGTGATAATTTGTACGTTAAAATTTTAACTTTGTATTAAAATTGAATATATTCCATTTTGTAGACAAACAACGCGTCTAGCGTCTATAGAAAAGACTTTGAAATATTATTGTACAATTTTCGAAAATTCTCTACTTCTCTATAAATAAAATAAAAAACTCTTCAAAAACCAGCCTTATAAAAGTAAATGATAATAATATATAAAAATAAAACACGGCGAGGAACCGTTCAAAGTGTTTTTATTTTAAATTGTTATTTATTGTTCGGCATAGTTAGGTTTAGATGTATAGGAAATATAAGTTTCTTCAGGAACATTCAGTATTCGCTATGTGCAATTAATGTTATATACATATATATATATATATATATATATATATATACAGGGTGTCCCAGCAAGTCCGTATCACCGGTCGTAGGCGAATCTCGCAAAATGATAAAGGACCTTTCGACTCAGAATAACCCCTTCTATTTGCCTACGACCGGTGATACGGACTTGCTGGGACATCCTGTATATACAGGGTGTCCCAGAATAGCCGTACAATCTCTCGTAGGCAGATAGAAGGAATAAAACTGAGTCGAAAAGTCCTGAACCATTTTTTTCTATTATTTATAATAAAGGAGTAATTATTGAGTAAATCAGGCCNGCGTGGCTAAAGGTCTGCGCTGATTGGCCCGCTTTACTCAATAATTACTCCTTTATTATAAATAATAGAAAAAAATGGTTCAAGACTTTTCGACTCAGTTTTATTCCTTCTATCTGCCTACGAGAGATTGTACGGCTATTCTGGGACACCCTGTATATATGGACGATAAATATATTGTTATAAATGGAAACTCAGCTATAATTAGCTTTAAATTTGCAGTTTGTTCGAGTAATCAATCTCACAACAACGCACGATTAATAAATTCACGGCAAGTTTGAAAGTTTGTATTTTTATTACGTGTCGCAGAAGAGAAAAAGCGTATTGCACATGTACATACAAATTTTTTCATACACATAATTTCTCAAATTTACATATTCTGCGTCTCTCTTGCCATGACTTATTAAGACAAACGAGATAGGAACGCTTTTTTACATCAAGCTTCAATATATTACTTTCTAATCACAAAATTAGAGCAAATTTAATTTTGCTACGATGAAAAATTTGTGTGAAAGATTGAAAATAATATACACTGTCCAACAAGATGTCTGAAATAAAAGTATCGTTTATCTTCCTTCGAAAAATGTAAAATATCTGCATTCTTTTGTATTCCTTGATCCTGGATGGTAAAAAATTTTTGCTCATCATTTATTATTGAGCAGAACTGTGTTATTCTTTTTCCTATATATAAATGTATAAAGATAATGTAAGAAATGTATAAAAAAAAGATTTTAATATTGTTAAGAAATTTAGTTCTTGAAACAATAAATATAAAAACACTCCTATAATAAAAGATAAACAGAATGTGTTTCAGTTAAAAAAATTTCACAAGTAGAAACATTTTATAAATCGTATTTACTAATTGTATGCAAACTATACTTATTTATATTACTTTGTTTTTAAATTGCACTTTATTTTCTTCCATTATATAATATGTTACGTTCTATATATTTTATCTACGTTAAAAAGGAAAAGGGAGAGAGGAAAAAGAAAGAAAATAAACCGTAACTACCACAAGTATATATTTCTTTGATTAAATATTGTTTTAATAAAAATTCAAATATTAAAAATGAATATATGATGCACTTACAAATTTGTGTTCTGTATGATAAACGTTACTTTATTCGCGTATATAAAAAATATGGTGCTTGTGTTAGAGGTTAGGTTGGGTTAGAGATAAGGTTAAGTTGGATTACAATAACATTCTGTTTACTCTGTTTTTTGTCAGAAATCAAAATTAACTAGTATGTATTTTCACTATGCACACACGAGCATTTGATTTGTTATTAACATTTGAGACACGTGTTCGCGTAATATATACGATAAAAAAATTGAAATTTAAGAACTCTAAACAGTCATGCCGCAAAACACTCGCGAATAAAACTCGGAAGACTGATCACAGTCGTTTATATTTACACCACGTCTGTAATTTATTTTTGCAAGTCTCTTTTAAAATACAGAAGATTTTTTGTTATCACATGTCTCCGAACACGCGAACGTTTATTTATCTTCCGTTTCCGTTGGGCGGATTCTCTCTGAAACAGATTTTATCAATTTTTACAACATAACATGTACCAAATAGACGTTACAACAGAATTCCAGACTGTCAATCCACACTGTAAACCGAGTCGAAATAAAAAAATAAAAAAAAATAAATAAATAAAAAAAACAAATTCAAGAACCAGAAGTCTGTAGCGAGACCAAAAGCAGCACAGCACTGATGCAGAAAAAAAAAAAAAAGAAATCGAAATAAACAGTACCACTGATAGAACTCACTGTGATTCGCACACAAAAATTTGACAACCTATATTACGTTCAGAATCACTGTCTTTTTCTCTAGAGTTTCTTTTGTTTTCGTAACAGTTCTCCCTTTGCTATATATCTCTCTGTCCCAGATGCACAATTTTGTACTCGATATGTTGCAAACAACACAGCTAATTTTTGATCTCTCAAAATACCGCATTTATGGAAAGAGGTTAATTGTCGCGACTTTAAGAAAAAAAAAATTCACAAACCACAAAGAAAACACTAATCTCACCAATATATAAGCCAATATATACGGTTTTTTGGTCTCATTGGCAGCAATCTGCTTGTTAACGAATTAACATCCTTTCTTCTGTTTCTCTCTCGTGTGATATATCAGGAATAACAATTCCCATTTCTCTAACACAAACACTTCGAAATGCATTATCTACGTTTGGCGTTTTTTAATTGTTCCCGATTGTCATTTGCGAAACGATTGACATCACAGCACTATGTATTGTTGCACGATAAACTTCACTCAACAAAAGCGGGAAACCAAATTGTATACCGAGTACAAAACTTTTTAGTATCAAAAGCAGTCTGATTCAATTTTTGTAATCACATGCATGCATTTTTTTTTTAATTGAACAACAAGACGAAATAATAAAACGTTCAACTTTCGTTTTGTCAATTTAGCAACAAACGTTCGAGGTTTTATCGGTCGACGATTCTCTAATACGTTCAACAAAACATTTTTTTTTTTTTTTCCAATCTTACTTTCGTCGAATTGTAAATTGAACCAATAATTATACCTTTCGTCGTACTGCGTTTCACTGCGTATTAACCGAATGATCACAAGAATTTTCGAATTTTTTGATAGGTGAAGAACGGTACTAAGAAAATTAACACATTTGGTGATTTTTTCTCTACATAAACTGTATCTATTTTCGGCTTCTCAAACACTAATTATGCTTATCCACTTGCACCTTCAATCACATTCAAGTATGGTAGAGAATCTCCTTTCTCTCTCTCCTCTATCTCTCTTTTTCCTATACCATCTCTGGAATGAATATATAAAAATATACATTCTAGACATGTTTGTTTTTTAAACTCTCCATACTCGAATGCCGAACACAATCACTTTTCGTTTTTACATTTCACTGTACACATGTCCAGAGTTTTTGTTTCATCAATGTCACCAAACACTGTCCTGTAAAAAAAAAAAAAAATCTGTCCTCACTTACAAAAGGGGGGTGAACTTCTGTCAACGAAAACACAGGTATGATAAACGTTGTTTTGGTTTTACAGTTAACCGAATTTCTGGGGATTTGCTATTTTTCCTCACTAGCTTCACTTTTTTTTTCTGGCACAGTCCAAACTTGTAACTATTCACGGATCATTTACTGCACAAGCACTTAAATGTTATGTCACACAAAATAAATCTACAGAGAAAGAAGAATATATAAACTTGGTAATTAAAAAATTGTCCATATCAAATATACTATTCTGTCCTATAAACCAGACCTTTCACATTTCTGCCATTAAAACTTCATATGAAAACTGTCTTCTTAATGACAAATCTGTGTTGATTTTTTACATCACTCTATAGATCTATACAATGTATTGTATTCTCAATCAACTGTTCTACTCACAAATGACACTATTGTACTTTGTTGACAAAGCGCAACAGAGAAGTATATATAGTTTTGTTAATAAAGATATGTAAAATATGTAACACTTTATATTTCATTAACTCTATAGTTAAAAAAAAAAATCTTTTTTCGTAATTATATTTACGTTATTTTGCTCACTTTAACTGAGACCATCACCGCGTATTTTTTTCATTTCGTTTTTATATGCATACACGCCTTACAAAAAAAATACTCATTTCATGTTTATCAGAAAATGAAAAATGATAATCAAATATTTATAAATGTCTGCAAATGTGAAAGAGCTGTGCACAATGTCATTACATTACGTACGTATAGTTTTATCTATATATATATATATAAGTTTATGTAAATATTATATATATGTAAATATATGTATATATGTGTATAATACAAACGGAGTCTTATATATAACATTATGGAGCAATCATCAAGTTATTTTTATGTAGTAATAGGGATTATTCTATTTAAAAGAGTCACACAATGGTAAATAAAGACTTTGCAGATGGAAATGTTACCACTTGGTAATCGCTAGGTTTTAGGCGTTTAAGTAAGGGAACAGTACCAAAACTGTGTTTTCTGATAGAAGATAAGTACTTGGAATATTCAGATTATTTGAGACAGAAACTAATGAATGAGTTCTATAAATTTGTTATGTGAAGAAGAAAAAAAAAAAAAAAAACTTATTTTGGAAAAAAATATGCGTGATGTTAATATATATTAATTATTTTTACATAGTCTCAACTTTCATTTTTATTAATTACATATTCAAATAAATAAAAAAAGAAACAAAAAAACAAAAAAAAAAACAAGAATACATAAACAGACTTGAGAATTTACAGTATTTTAGAAATTCGCATAAATTTGATACCAAAGATTAGACTGTTAGACCAACTGTCCTTAAAGGACTAACTGTCCCAATCTCGCGAGTTTTGTTTTATATTTTACGTTTTTTAATGATATTAATCATTAAAAATGTCCTTATTTCAGTCAATGTACATGTATAAAAAAAAAAATAATTGTCTTTTTATAATCTTATCGTAAAAAACAAACTTTGTCTTGGAAGCCAGTTGAAGATGAAATACTTACATCAATCAAAAAACACAAGTCCTAATCAATCTTTTATATATATATATGTATAGATCCGCCGTCATCTTACATATGTACTGTATCTAATGTTGAAAATACGGACAAGTTGATGTACTAAATTGTTTTAGGCGCTACCCCCTTTAACTACTACGATTACCAAGTGATCTTCCTTGAGACTTTCCTCGCTTAAACTAGGACACGTGCGTTTCAAAAGTTCTGTGGAGAACGCACAAGGCGGAAATGCGTAGAGTACACCGGTGCCTTCTGTGTCCTTATTTAACAGAGATATTACACCGGCTGCTTCTTTTTGTTTAAGATATGATACGAGATTGCGCAACGGCCGTGTCTGTACATTAGCGTCGTCGTTTGTGACCGCAGTGCTTGAACCAGCTAGGCCAAGGAAGATTGCGTGGGAACTAGAAGTCTGGATACGTTTAGACACATCGTCCAGCTTCGGTTGATCAAGTCGCAGCCGCTGTGTGATGCGCAACATGTGCTTACCCTCTTCGTCCTTCATCAGAGATTCAATTATTTCCGTCTCTCCGTCAGTCAAATGGAACTTAGCTGGAAACAGCGAATTTTTTAATATTAAAGCACCCTGCCATACCGCGATAGATTTACGTGCTACATCCGACAGTGTGCGGGATGTTGATAACATCCCGGTACGATTATCCGTATCAGAATCGGAGTCTATTTGTCGTCGACGGGGCGAGCGAGATCTCGATCTGTCTACTCCTGGTTCGCGTGAAAGCGATCTTCGAAGACCGCGAGGTGTTTCATACTCCAACTCTGGCGGCGGTCTTCTACTGGACCACTCGGCTTCGTCGCGAATATAGCCATCAGGATAGGTGCCTCTGTAACCGCCTCGCGTGTTTCCTCGCCGATCATGCCAAGGGCCACTACCTCTTCCACCACGAAAGCTTCTCGGTCCATAGCTAAACTCGCCCTCAGGTCCATAAGGATCATAAGGAGATTCATAATCCACAGGACGTGGTCTGAATTCGCTATTCTCTTCGGAATATGGTCGAGGTTTGAAGCCAAAACTACCTGGCGTTACATCCGCAAAGTCAACACGCAATCTACGATCAGGCCCACCGAGCGGAAAACCACGCATTTCTTTAACTGCAGCTTGAGCAGCATCAATTGAGTCATACAGTATGTACGCGTTGCTATCGCCTTTAATATAATCAATCTTCTTTATCGCACCGAAGCGATCGAATTCACGTTCAAGTTGAGGTACGGAAGTCCAAGGTCCGAGTCCTCCGACCCATATTCGAGTAGTAGGTGTAGCCTTACCATAACCAATTTTACACTGGAACTTGCCAATATATTGGCCTGACAGTTCAACTTTGCACCTGTGCGCCATGTCTAGTGTTTGAAAACGTACGAAAGCATATGCGTTACCGGTTCCAGGAGGTGGACGCTTTATATCGATATCATCAACAATACCGTACTTGCTGAAAATACGGCGCAACTCTTCTTCCGTAATATTGATCTCCAAATTACCGGCAAACAAAGTTCTAGTTGCAAGAGGATCGTCTTCAGGTGAGACGTGATGCAGATAATTAGGAAACTTGTCCTTTTTATTCTCAACGCGTTCGAATCCATGTACGGGATGTCGAATCATCATATGGCGTGGCGGTCCGTAATGATGAGGCGGTCCTGGATGAACATGAGGCGGTCCGTGGGGATGTATCGGAGGTCGAACAAACTCGTGATGTGGGGGTGGAATAGCATCACGACGCATTTCTCGGTGCGGGGGCAGACCTACCGGTGGACCGTAAACTCGTTCGTACCGATCTATCGGTCTATGACGATCCGTGGGTCCGGGCGATCGGGCATAATATCTGTCATAATCTGGCGGCGTGATGGATCGTGCACGACGATATTCGGATCTGTCGTACACCGGTTCTACCAAGGCCATTTTGTCGTATATGATGATACGAGGTTTCGCATGCTTGGCGTCACGAGCGTCTTCCGAATTTCTGAAGCACACATAGGCCACCCGTTCATCAGGTTCATGCGAAATTTGAATAGAAAATTCACCGAACTTCTTGTATTCCCTATATATAGTGTCCTTGATTATCTCGTCACTGGCTTTCGGGTGAATAGAACTGATACAGAGGACTTTGTAACTGTAAGGACGTTCTCGTGGCAGATCGCGCGGGGTACGTAGGTATTCGTCACGATGCGAGCTAGACTCGACGTAACGTGCATGGGAGGAAGCACGTGTAGGTGGACTGGGACTTCTCGCACCTCTGCTTCGACGTCGTATTCGCTCCGGGGTGATTCGTTCATCACTGGAATCATCATATCTACAAATCATACAAAATGTAGGAGCAGTTAGTAAAAAATATCAAAGAGCGTGGGAGAGCGTGAATAAAGCTAAAGGCTCGCTTTGTAAGTTACAAAATCCCGCGTTAAGAAATAAAATAATAAAACCACGTGCACTCAGATATAAGAAACAATTTCACGTCGCACTATATAACACTATTGAGAATCACAAAAGAAGAAAGGCGTGATCATCGCACGCACGCGCGCGCGAGCGCGTCTAAGGCAAATCTTGATCGGCGTGAATCACCGAACCAAAGCACAAGTATATTGTCATAGAAGAAATGCGGATCTTTTCTCTCTCTCTCTCTCTCTCTTTTTCTCTCGGTCCGCGATACCGCCGCTCGAGAAAACAGCTTACCGTCCCATCGAGGATCGGCTCCGCTTTACACGAGGAGGAGGAGTGTCGCGACTCGAGCTCCTCTTCATGTTGTTACGGATCTTGACCGTGATTTTATGCCGATCGTCCCTTGGAATTCCAATCATGAACGTTGTTTGTTACACTGTAAACTCAATGAAGAATAAGAAAAACGAGAAGCTCACTGAAACAAATGCGTGACAGCAGTCACAGCTTTGTTAGAAAAATACGTTTCGCGAGCCAGATTCTTTTATCACCGAGGCACTGTCCGAGATCCGCTTGCGAACAAAATGGCGTCTTCGTCGCTGCCACCAGAGAGAAGCCTGAGAGCGGCCAGGTCCAACTAGCGCACGTCCACGGATGGTGCAAGTTGGAACTACGCGGCCATGTTCAACGACTTGTCGGTTGCGTACACGCGTCTATGGTTCTTGTCCGTGCTACTAATATGAATAAAAAAAAGATAGACTGTGAACTAGTGCAGCCAGTTCAGGGAAAAAAAACAAACCTTAAGTTTATGTCACACTACGGATTGGGATTGAGATTGGATAGCAATTTGGCCAATCAGAGCGAAGATTACTAAACTTAGCATTGGTTTTCTTTCTTCTCATTGGTCAACTTCCAATCCAATCTCAATCCTAATCCGTAGTGTGACATAGGCTTTATATTTGGTCCTGTTTTTTTGCACGCACTTTGCCGCGCGCATTGATGCATTGGAAACGGACAATCATAGGTCTGTTCTTTTTACCTAAACTAGTGTAGCAAGTGCTACACTAGTTTAGGTAAAAAGAATAGACCTAGTAATAACGGAACAGGGGGGACGTAGCGTGAAACGGAACGCAGCCTTCGAGTAAAATAGTAAATGAATAAAATTGAATTCCTGAGACGAATTGTCAAAGAGAGAAATACTTAGTATCGAATAAAATATATTGACAATCATGACTATCGTAACCATATTAAATCGTAATCTTACTTTATCTCAGCTGTCAAAGCTGCATTCGCACATTTACGGGGTATATTTCTTAATCTTTATTTTACAGGTTATAAAAATATTAGGGTTACAAAGTTAGAAAATTACTTGTGATTCACTTTAATACGTAATTTTTTTTTAGCCGAATGTACGATTTTGGGCGTCGCACGCTAAATTCGCTGAGCACAAACCTTTGGAAAAGATCAGAAATATTGGTATATCAGCTCACATTGATTCCGGAAAAACTACTTTGACTGAACGTATTTTGTATTATACCGGTAGAATATCTGAGATGCACGAAGTAAGTTTACAGATAAATTTCAATAAACAATATTTTTCTATCTAAATGATGTTTTTACTAAATAGTTCAAATTTTGTACATGCATACCTACTTTTTTTTAATCAGGTAAGAGGAAAAGACAATGTAGGTGCAACTATGGACAGTATGGAATTAGAAAGACAAAGAGGAATCACCATTCAGTCTGCTGCTACTTACACATTGTGGAAAGATCACAACATCAATATTATTGACACTCCCGGACATGTTGACTTTACTGTGGAAGTTGAAAGAGCTCTACGTGTTTTGGATGGTGCTATACTAGTTCTTTGTGCTGTAGGTGGTGTACAGTCGCAGACCTTGACTGTCAACCGACAGATGAAGAGATACAATGTACCTTGCTTGGCATTTATCAACAAACTGGATAGAATGGGTGCAAATCCAAAGAGAGTCTTAAAGGAATTGAGAAGCAAGCTTCATCATAATGCTGCGTTTATACAATTGCCAATTGGTTTAGAAGGTAATACGAAAGGAGTAGTCGACTTGATTTCTCAGAAGGCACTTTACTTCGAAGGAAACTTTGGAGAGATTGTCAGAGAGGATGAAATTCCAAAAGATATGAACGCAGGTATGAACGCATAATAAAATTATGAAAGAACATTGGTGGCTTTGTCACTTTTGTTCTCTTTCTGATTTTAAATAAATTGTCCACGTTTTGTAATTAGAGGTGAATGAAAAGAGGCAAGAATTGATCGAAAATTTAAGTAATGAAGACGAGACACTTGGGGAATTGTATCTAAACGAAGCGCAAATAACTGAAAAGGATATTATGGAGGCTTTACGTAGGACTTGTTTGAAAAGAAAATTTACACCCGTGTTAGTTGGTACCGCGCTAAAGAATAAGGGAGTTCAGCCATTATTAGACGCAGTACTAAATTACTTACCTAACCCAGGAGAGGTAGAAAATTATGCTTTTGAAAAAACTGAGTAAGCGTAATGAATAAATTGATAATAATATGATATGTAATTTAACGTGTAACTAAACAAATTTTATTTGATTTTAGAGATGAATCCAACAAAGTTTTATTGAATTCTGCCCGCAGCGATAAGCATCCTTTCGTCGGGTTAGCATTCAAATTAGAAGCTGGCAAATTCGGCCAATTAACGTACTTCCGTTCCTATCAAGGAACGCTAAAAAAATCAGACACCTTGTACAACACAAGGACAAAGAAGAAGGTAGTAATGTTTTTATACATGTGCGCTCGTAAGTAATTGTCTTTATTTATTTTTGTGTATTTATTAGGTGCGAGCTCAAAGATTAGTTCGTCTTCACGCGAATCAAATGGAAGATGTGACAGAAGTTTATGCAGGTGACATTTTTGCTTTATTCGGTATAGAATGCGCGTCTGGCGACACATTCGTCAAAAGTTCCAACCTTAATTTATCAATGGAATCGATCTATATTCCCGATCCCGTAATATCTATGTCCATACACACGAAGCATTCAAAAGATCGGGATAACTTCGCCAAAGGTATTGCCCGATTCACCAAGGAGGATCCAACTTTACGTTTCCACTACGACACCGATGTCAAGGCATGATTATCCATATTGTTAAAAATTATTACTTTTAGCGAATGTCTCTTTTGATTTTTTTGTTTTGTTTTTTAGGAAAGTATAGTCTCTGGCATGGGCGAATTACACTTGGAAATTTATGCGCAAAGATTAGAACGTGAATATAATTGTCCGGTCATACTCGGAAAACCAAAGGTTGCTTTCCGTGAAACTCTATGCAATCCTTGCGAGTTCGATTATTTTCATAAGAAACAGAGCGGCGGTGCTGGCCAATACGCTCGTGTGATCGGAATTATGGAGGTACAGACATTTGTGCGCGATTTCTAATCTTTTTTTTTAGTAATAGTACATTAGATATTTTATATTTCTCTATTCAGTATATTTATATTCGATAATAGTACATTAAATATCTTTCAATATCTTAAAAAAAAACTGTTCTTTTTTAGCCATTGCCGCCTGAAAAGAACACAACTATCGAATTTGCGGATGAGACTGTGGGCACCAACGTTCCGAAACAATATATACCAGGTGTAGAGAAAGGATTTAGAGCTATGTGCGAGAAAGGCTTGCTCAGTGGTCACAAGATTACCGGTATCAAGTTCAGAATAATCGACGGTATGCACCATTGCGTCGATTCTTCGGAATTCGCCTTCTTCCAAGCTGCACAGGGTGCCGTCAGAGATGTGTTCGAGAATGGCAGCTGGCGAATTTTGGAGCCGATCATGTTGGTTGAAATCACGGGTCCAGAAGAATATCAGGTATAATAATAATGTTCGTTTAACAGTGACACACACACACACACAGAATTCCAATATTGATTTATTTCTTGTCTTATTTTATTTTTTTTAAATTTTCTACGTTTTGTTTTCTTATTCTTTGTAGGGTGCGGTATTAGGACAAGTCAACAGAAGAAAAGGAATCATAAACGGAACCGATACGAGGGAAGGATGGTTCACGATCGTCGCTGAGGTGCCACTCAACGAGATGTTCGGTTATTCCGGAGAATTGAGATCGACCACGCAGGGTAAAGGAGAGTTCACCATGGAGTACGCAAGATACAGCCCTTGTTTGCCGGAAGTACAGGAACAAGTTGTTAGACAATATCTGGAGTCACAGGGAATATCAGTGGCTCAGAAATCAAAGAATTAACTATAGAATATGAGATAAGCGATTTTTTAAGCGCAATTTTTAGGAATATTATTATAAACGTCGCATTGCCGTGAACGTAAGCGTGTCACGGCAATGTATGTACCCTATATTCAATAAACTAAAAAGAATTTTTTATTCAAAGTACATCCATAAACTACATTTGAGAGAAAAACAAAAGTTGGTTAACTTAGTACAATTGTAATATTTAACACTAAATAAGAAAACGATGTACGATATACTTAGTAAATGTGTAACGCGACTGTAACGAATTAATTGTAAATATTAGTCTATGTCCAAAGATGTGATACAAAGAGAGAGTAATAAATAAAAAGTCATTTCTATGTCTACACAAAGGTATATATACAATATAGAGTATATCTTATATTTTTCCTAATGCATATATCTATTTTGTTTATATTTTTGCGTATCGATGTAATGATTATTTACTTCATCAAAGTTTTTTTACATGTATGAAAGAAGATGCACAGCATGGTTGCCCTCTACCATCAGCAGTTGCGTTTATTCCTAACCTCATCTGTCTCTTCCGCGACAACGTTGCGTGACGTTGCGGCTGGACGTCGAGTGCTGAACGTGTGAACGTGGCAAACTTCCTTTCCTGACATCTGCGAAGCGTGAAAAATGGTTCTGGATTTGGACTTCTTCCGCGAGGACAAAGGTTTCGATCCGGAGAAAATCCGGGAAAACCAGCGGAAACGTTTCAAAGACGTGCAGCTGGTGGACACCGTGATCGAAAAGGACAAGCATTGGCGACAATTGCGTCATCGCGCCGACAATTTCAATAAACTGAAGAATCTGTGTAGCAAAGTAATTGGCGAGAAAATGAAGAAAAAGGAACCGGTCGGCAACGACGATAATGTGCCTCAGGACCTCGCCGACGACCTTGACAATTTGACTCCCGAGAGCTTGAGAGCTTTGACAGTGGCGCAAATCAAGAGAATACGCGTTCTCATCGACGAAGCCATACAGAGAAACGATGAGAGTCTGAAGACAACCGAGTTAGATAGGAACAACGCTCTCAGAGAAGTGGGAAATCATCTGCACGAGTCTGTACCTGTTAGCAACGATGAAGAGGAGAACAAAGTACGTGTGATGGTTTTTATAATTAATATAGTAAGTTAAAATAAAATACACACAATTCTTTCTCTGATCTTAAAGATTGTTTGCTCTTATTTTAGATAGAAAGAACTTGGGGAGATTGCAGCCAAAAGAAGAAATACTCCCACGTTGATCTGATTCAAATGATCGACGGAATAGACGGAGAACGTGGAACAAGTGTATCTGGAGGCAGAGGATATTTCCTCACCGGACCGGGAGTGTTTCTTCAACAAGCGTTAATACAGTTATCATTAAGGAAGTTAACCAAAAAGAGTTACAAACCTCTTTACACTCCATTTATCATGCGGAAAGATGCGATGCAAGAAGTAGCTCAGCTTTCTCAATTTGATGAAGAATTGTACAAGGTGATGTTTGCTTTCGATTTTACTTTCAATAATCTTGATGCCAAAGATCACAATTGTAATTGTATATTTTTTATCCTCAATTTGCACACAGGTCATTGGTAAAGGAAGCGAGCGTAATGAAGACAAAGAGATGGAGGAGAAGTATCTCATTGCTACCTCCGAGCAGCCAATAGCAGCTTTTCATCGAGGCGAATGGATAGCTGAGAACGCTTTACCCATTAAATATGCCGGTATTTCTACTTGCTTTAGACAAGAAGTCGGCTCTCACGGCCGAGATACCAGAGGTATTTTCAGAGTACATCAATTTGAAAAGGTAATTTAATATAAAAATAACTGACTGAAGTGTGTGTGTGTGTGTGTGTCTGAGAGTGCGAGAAAATTGCACATTTTTGCTGTTTTTTTCAGGTGGAGCAGTTTTGTCTCACTTCCCCCCACGACAACAAGTCGTGGGAGATGATGGAAGAAATGATCGCCAATGCGGAGGAGTTTTATCAGAACCTGGAGATTCCGTATCGCGTGGTTAACATTGTGTCCGGCGCATTGAATCACGCGGCTTCCAAGAAATTGGATCTGGAAGCTTGGTTCCCCGGATCTAGAGCGTTCCGCGAACTCGTTTCGTGCAGCAACTGTCTGGATTATCAAGCGAGAAGATTACTCGTGAGGTTGGTATATCAAACCGGATTTCGTTATCGTCTTTCTCATAAGAGAGATATCATTCTTACAATACAACACACACACATTTGCTTCACAGATACGGTCAGACGAAGAAAATGAACACCGCGACGGATTACGTTCACATGTTGAACGCGACGATGTGCGCCGTGACGCGTGTGATCTGCGCGATATTGGAGGTCCATCAAACGGAAACCGGCATCAAGATGCCGAAAATTCTGGCGGAATACATGCCCGTCGAATACAAGAGCGAAATTCCTTTCGTCAAGCCCGCGCCGATCGATGAAATCGAAACGAAGAAACAGAAGAAACAGAAAGAGAACATGTAAAAGTAGCGCTATACTCTGTATAAACATGAAAAACTCTTTATTTGCTAATATTTATTAAAAACGACATGTTTTTTTTTATTTTTTTATTCCTCAGTTTTTAACGTTCATTTTATTAATAACGATCTGAATTGATTGCTCGTACCTGTGATAATTGCGTTTAAAAAAAAAAAAGAATATACACAATTTTGCATATGTTTCCAATTTTTCTCAATAATATCTTGTATGCGAAGCTACGTGTATGCAACAAATAAACAGTACTGCTAAAAAATATTTTACCCGACAGTAAGGCCTGTTCTACAATACAGTCGTAAGAAATTGACCAATCACAGACCAATTACAGAAGAATAATCGATTGTGATTGGTCAATTTCTTACGACTTACGACTGTATTGTAGAACAGGTCTAAAGAGCCGTCTACAATGGAGAGTTGTAGGCCGTAACAGTAAGAAATTGACAAATCACAATCGATTATTCTCCTGTACTTTGTCTGTGATTGGTCAATTTCTTACTATTACGGTCTACAACTCTCCATTGTAGACGGCTCTTAAAGTGGCTACGGGCACAGTTTTACGTGTCCCGGCACTGCGTACGTTTTTATATGCGCATGATTCATAAATTACAACATCCAATCGTATCGGTCGATTTGTCCAAATCGACCAATGCGATTGGCTATTGTGGACACGGCCTATCGCTCGCGATCATTACGTCAAGTGGAACTTATGGTCACGTGGTCGACTCGGTCAACCACTGCGCGTGCGTGAAACAGCAACGAAATGCGCGTGCGCAAAGAAGTCTCACAAATCTAGAGGCATTGCGGTATTTGCGGCTTCGAAAAGCACTGACGCAAGCGGCGGCGAGCAGTAGCGCACTGACAGATCCGGGGAGTGGTTGGTGCGCGCGGTTGTTGCCCGTGTTGCCTTTTGTCGCGTTTTCGAACACGAGCGATCCGCGGAGCCGCGCGAGTGTTACGCCGAGAAGGAGGCAACCCTCGTCTACCCCGTCGCGGTCGACGCACATCGCCGTCGCGTGTATAGCTCGTGCACGAAAAATGTAATATGGCGATGGTTGCGTCGAACATGAGCGGCCACATACAGAAGCAGCTCACCAGGAGCCTCGAGCGGATCCTGGAGGAGGCGCACCTGAGCGGCGAGCTCAAGCTGAGCGGTCGCAAGCTCAAAGATTTCCCGAAAGTCGGAAAGACCGGTGCAGCCAAGTACAATCTCCAGGACACCGTGATCGCCGGTGAGTCTTTTTACCTCTTCGACGCTCTATTTTTTCTCGTATTTTCAGATCCCAATTTTATTCGGAAATGGTTGGATTCTCTGATGCAGGAGAAAAACCACACGGGGCAAAAACATCGCGCGACCACGCCACGCGTATATTTTTGTTAATTCTTTTTATGAAGACTCTTTTGTAAGAGAGACGCCTACCACCCTTGGTCTTGTGTATAACATACAGAAGAAGTTTTCAGAGGAACTGAGTTACAAATTATCATTGTACGGTTGTCTGTAATAGAGAGACGTGTTCTTGGTATCGGAGTTTTATATTTATGTGTGCAATATTAGTACCGTTACACACGCGTCATTAATTACCGGACTCGTCTTATCAGATTTATAAAAAAAATCTAGAAAAAAAAAACAAAGAGAATGAGAGAGTTTTCGAACACAAATGTTTGTTCTCAACAGTTATCTTTGTTCCTTGAAGTGACATATCAAATGGTAATTATCGCAGACAGATTAGAAGGTATGTTATTTTATCAATATTTTACGAATGATTTACGAACTCTCGTCCTTTAGTTGATTTCAGTTGATTTCAGTAAGAAAAGTTTTTTTTTCTTTTATTTTAATTGATTTCAGTTCTTGTAAAAAAAATTTTAAATTTTCTGTCTGCGGTGCGCGGAGAGAACTGCCACGGAATTACATATATATGTACGTACGTGTGTGAAAGAGTTATTTATTGCCAGAGCGAACACGTGTGTATCGTGTGACGCTATTAATATACCGTGAAGTTATTTAATAAGCGAATGCTATAATGTACCGTTTCTCGCCGGTGTATTGACCAGAGAAACCTTCAAACATTACCTAATACGCATGCACTTGCCAGGTTCGGACACCTGGCGCGCATTACTCATCGATAATTGCAGCTGATTGCCGGACTTTGCAAAAAAAAAAAAAACAAAAACAGAGCCAGCAGATTTATTAAACATCTCTCGACGATGATTTCCATAAACATTAACAAACCAGAGACTCACACGTTCTCGTTTCGCAAGCACGTAATGTCGAAACTCTGAGTTCCAATTCAGTTTTATTTTAATAATAGTATTTTTTTGAAGGAATAATATAAAAGGCCGATACGCGAGCCAATCCCAGGATATTGAGCGGGAACTTGAACGTGCATACATATATGTATACATCTATAACAAGTATTACTTGTAAATTTTTACAAGTAAGTTTTTTGAATTGAAAATTCAATTCTTAAATTCATACGGGATGCGGGATTTGCA